CTAGAATATTGAGAACCATGGTTGGCTTTATGATGATAACCTAGACTTCCCAAGTATATGAGAGGCTCTATGTCGTGAGTGGCAGGCTGGCAGCTGACCATCGGAAGAAGCTTGCAACCTGATCCGAACTTATCTTCAACAAAACAAAGCTCTTAGGATAAGGGCAATCAAAAACAGGATGGCACGAATCTAGCCCCCCTTGATGGACCTAAAAGTTGATAGATTAATCCGAGTCGCCTCCCCTGTTCTTAGTTCGTCATACTATTTTAGTTATTTGGGCAATCCTAGAAGTAGCGCGCTTTCCCCATAGGTGAGTCTAACTGCATCCATGCAGGTCGTAGCTACGAAGAATGCCCCAAGCTGCCAGCAGGCCAACCTTAAATGCGACGAAAAGTCGAACATGATGACAAGTCTGAATGACAGAATGACAGGGGGGTCCTGATAAGTCCGAATAACGCCGGTGGTAGGTAGTACAACCTGTTTCACTATAGGAACAGACCTTGTGAACTGCCTTGACACACGCATGATAGCCTTGTGCATCTAGTTTGATCGAAAAGCCCTGATACTTACCCACAATGATCCTACGGTACGTATGAGTAAATCGGGATCTAGATCCATATAAGCACTTATGATAATGCAAGGCTCGTTGGCTATGCCAAACATAACCCACGTAAGGAACGGTGATTCCTGAAATCTCAGTTATCGTAGCGGTGAGACGCAGCGCTCCGCCAAGAAGAGGCTATTAGCACCGGAGTTTGAAAGCCAATAGCAAATAAGCGAGATTCGAATCCGGGTGGCGCTCTCCACTAGACCTTTATCAGGCAAGGTGCTCGGATCTATGATCAGTGGCATCGCCGACGGCTTTTCGATATACTTCCCGGCCCTAAAGCGGGTATACATCATGAACCGGGCATCCTAATGCTATCCCTTGCACCGTCGCGCCCCATCCACTCGGATAGATGGCTGTGATTTGATCACTGAGAGACGGTGTTTCATACACGTGATTTAGTTGATCACTAGTGTTCCCAACAAATTATTCAGCTGAAATCAATCGCGTATGTTCAGTAGAGAGTCACACGTGTGCGCTTAGTCTTCGTTAGACTGGAGTAAGTGGTGAGGTATTCACCAGACCACATCGTGGGATTTGGATTCAAGGCGGCTGAACGCTTCAGGAATCCGTATCTAGTATCTTCAGGTGTGTATCTGGCGGCACTGTTGCACAGCAAACGATGTTAGCGTGCAGTTGTAGAACATGGTCAACATAGATACCAGAGAATGAAAAGATCGAGGGCAGATACCTACGAAGAGTTAGTGCGGCTGGTTGCTGGTTGGTTACAGAGTCATGGGGCCTTAAGGCCGGTCCTGGGCTGACCCCACCATCTTCGAACTATGGAGCAGGGTTCACCTAGGAAGATAATGATCGAAAGGAATCGATGATACCACTCGGAGGCCATGTTACCCAATAGATTCATTGAGGCCAGTCTCTCAACCCACTTATTTGCTACGTGGTAATGGGCTTTCTTTGTACGTTTCAGTCAGCGTGTGGTTTCCAGAGTCCAAGCATTCTGTACCCGCCAAACTGGCTGAGGTCATGAGAGACAAATCAGCTTTTTATGAACTTTTCTTTGTTGTGTACTCCACAGTGGCGTTCCAGGGAGTGAACTGGTACATATCTATGCTGTGCCATGACATGTGTTCTAAAACTCAATATAGGCGCTGAGATGTGAGTCTTGAATTATTTTGAAGTGTTTTTCGAAGATGTGGGATATGGTTCGTCGGTCTTGCGGTTGAATCGGCTATGCCAGGGAACACTCTTTCATCTCTGACCCAGTAGATCTGTTCTGAACTGATATCGAAGAGCCAATTGGAGGAGCACGCTAATGCACCATGGATAAGAGCAAGCACGCGGCCCTCGAACGCAACCTGAGACGAAGATCGTTGTCCATACACCTTGGTGGGGTCTTCTTAAGGCTTTGACTCTGGAAGATGACTTTAGCTTTACATACTTTATTGAGAGAGTTGCATATTCGACTTTGCAGATCTTCAAGCACCAGAAGTTGCGGACATTGGTCGAGTCACTGACGTATTGGTCATGGGTTCGTTGCAGATAGAAGCTGACCCAAGACAGTCGTTGGTGAAGTGGAGTCATGAGGTTTCCTCGTTGGTCTTCACCGTGCCTTCCGTCGTTGCTGTAAGGAGAAACGCGAGGAACTTACTAAATCTGCAATCTTGTTGAGCTAACAAACCTGCAGGAAATAGCCGTGGGGCTGTGAAATATTCACTCTCCAAAATGGACAGTCCAGTGCCCAAACCTGGTCATCATTCACACTATCTTGCAGGGCTCTCATTTGAGTTATGAAGACCCAAGTGTGCACAGTCAAGTGGTTGTGTGTCAGAACCAAGTCTCCTATCAAACCTTGTGGCTACATGCGTTTCCTCTGAGACTAATCTCGAGCTTATTGATTCGTGCCTACATAAGGAAGGAAACCTCGCACCTTGGGGGCCGTATCCTTGGTGTGAGTCAAAACAGGCCTTACGTACCGAATACTGTAGGCTAGTCATGTGTGGGCTAACAGCTTTTATTGCTCTCTATGGGAGGTCTGGTTGGCAGCATGACGAGTTTGCAAGCAGTGGGGATTTGGGACAGAAAGTCAACGACAGTCTGGATATAATTAGCCACCGAGGACCTGACGCTCGAGGGCAGTGGCTTAGTTCCGACTGTCGAGTTGGTAAGTTCAGATGGCTTCATAGAAAAGGGTATGCGATTATCTGACTTGCACTAAAGGGCTTGGACACGTCCGGCTTTCAATTATCGACCTGAGTCCCGCCGGAAACCAGCCATTCCATGACAGCGAAGATAACATTCATGCCGTTATAAACGGTGAACTTTATGACTATGACCGTATCAAGGCTGAGCTGTCGGGCGAATATGACTTCAAAAGCAAAAGCGATTGCGAAATTGTCATTGCACTTTACAAACGTTACGGAGAGTCGTTCCTCTCGCATTTAAGGGGAGAGTTCGCTCTGGTGCTATGGGATGCAAGGCGACAGCTGTTCATCGCTGCTAGGGATCGGTACGGAATCAAGTCGCTCTACTATACGGTCATAGATGGCCGATTAGTTGTGGCCACAGAGATGAAATGCTTTCTGTCTTTCGGCTGGACCCCGGAGTGGAATGTCGCCAATATCAGGGAGAAAGGCTGGCTATATGGGCATCAGATGTACTTCAAAGGCGTCAACCGAGTGAGTGACGAAATCAGTACGACTTCTGCGTACCATGGATAACTAATCATGCAACCAGGTCGGCCCTGGCCAGTATCTTGTTAGCCGAGATTTCAACACCCCTCGGGTGAAATCATACTGGGATCTTGACTACACCGACAAAGTAAGCAAGCAATCCACGCTAGGTGCCGAATAAATTACTAACCTAGACCTACGCAGCATGATGCCTACCCATGTTCAGAAGAAGAGACAGTGGCCAGAGTCCGGGAGCTTCTTTTAGAATCGGTGCAGCATCGACTCCGTGCTGACGTGGGTGTGGGCGTATTCCTAAGTGGAGGGCTAGACTCTTCGGCCATTGCGGGTATGACGGCACATGTTATTCGACAAGGCCAGAGCCTAGGGAACGATGCAAGCGGAAAACTCTCCAATCTAAGCTGTTTTACGGTTCAGTTCGAGAAGAGCAGTGGATTGGACGAATCAGGTAATTGTCACTGATCCTCCATGGTTCCACAATCCACTTACCAGTTCCAGATGTCGCCCGACGAACAGCAGAATGGCTAGGAGTAGACTTCCATCCTGTCCTTCTGGACGAAGAGGCCATTGCTTCAAGACTAGAGGATACAGTGTGGCATACAGAGACACCCATACCCGACGTGAATGGAATGGGCCGCTTAGCCCTCGCAGAGGCCGCCCATGCAGCAGGCAAAAGGGTCGTGCTAACTGGCGAGGGTTCCGACGAGCACTTCGCTGGCTATGCAGACTTCATATGGCGTTACATACTGGAACCGGACCATTCGTGGGCCTCATCCGACACCATGGCTGAACTACCGGAGGCACGGAAGGTCGCCCATGAGTTAGTCGCAAAAGGCTTTCTAGGCGCACTCCCCCCTCCTTCTGATGCGGAGGCTTCACAGACTCTCAACGATAGTTCTGTGTTTCCCAGATTCAACGCAATAACCCAGCCACGCTTCCGACAGTGGGTCTACGAAAACAGTCACAATCGCCCCGAATTGCTGTTTGCCAATAGCTTCAGTGAGAAGGTCCTTGCTGATGTGGCTACAAAGTGGCATCCACTGCACTCTTCAGAGTATCAGTGGACTAAAAGTATATTGGCCAACTATATTCTCCGATATCTAGGGGACAATATCGACATGGTTTACCAAATCGAGTCGCGACCGCCCTTCCTTGACCATCACCTCACCGAATATGTGAACAGGATTCCCCCTAGTCTGAAAATCAAATACTGCTCCGCGACGAAGACCTTTCGTGAGAAGCATATTCTTCGCGAGGCAATGAAGCCATTCGTCACCGAGGAGGTCTATAATCGCACTAAGCAACCCTATGTTGGCCCAACCAAGTACAAAAAGAATGGGCCAGTGTATAGGATTCTCGAGACGTTAGTGACTGAGGCCAATGTCAGAGCTCTGGGGTTCTTGGAGTGGCACGGGGTGCAGGAGGATTTCGTGAGAGCCTTTCGCGATCATGATACGCTGTCATTCAAGAATACACTATCGGTGGCTCAGATGGTTGTTCTTGGGAAGCGGTTCGGGGTAAAGACGGCGGAAGATCCTCGAAGACAGGCAGTGGCATATGAGGAGACTGAGAATGCTATGCTTAGGAGTCGATTGTAAGATACGCTGTACTGAGCTTCAGAATAATAGCACCATGAATCAAGTGAATCTTCAGTAGTGTGAGGGATGAAAGCACGTATTCAACTGAGTTACGGCATCTTGGAGAACCTGATTATCTCGCAGAAGCTTTGAACATGAGCAATACTAGTAGGACCTCTCATTCTATACTAAGATATGGAGCATGCATCCATCCATATCATCTAAAGATTCTAAGAATACTAATTGCCATCAAATCCCCTTCACTTCCGCTCATCCAGCACAATCAGAGCTATACTCCCACCTCAGACAAATCCATTCGCCTTATTAAACTCATCAACCACCTCCCTTGTAGCCCTCACAATCTCCAAACACCCCGGCGAATCCGAATGACAACAAATCGTCACCGGGTAATCCTTGACCCCCATCTGCACCACCGACCCATCAACAGCCGTCGCCGATGAGTCCTCCACCTGCTGCCGCACATGCGCCTTGACATCCTCAATCTTCCATGGCTTCTTCTTCCGATCAATAACCAGCATCCCATCGGGCCCGTACTTGACATCCCCGAACAGCTCCGCCCAAAACGGCACACCAAGCTCCTTCGCGGCCTGCTCCATGTATGTTCCTCCAAGGCCCACCACCGGCACACCAGCAGGTATTCCCCTTATGACGGCCCGTGCGACTTCCAGATCGCGACACATCATGCCGTAGAGCACGCCGTGCGGCTTGACGTGGTGGAGGGGGATATTTTCGCGTGCTAGGAAGCCTTGCAAAGCCCCGACTTGGTATATTATGTTGGCGGTGTGCTCTTCTGGTGTGAGCTTCATTTCGCGGCGGCCGAAGCCTTGCACGTCGGGGAGGCCGGGGTGGGCGCCGATGGTTATGTTGTGCTTTTTGCATAGGGAGACGGTCTCTTGCATTATGAGGGGGTCACCGGCACTAGATAAAAATTGGAATTCGGGATCAGATTTGGTTTGGTGGTTTGTGGTTGAAGGGATGCGGTGGATAGCTATGCTACTTACTGAAACCCGCAGGCTACGTTGGCCTGGTCGATGAGGGGGATTAGTTCTTCGTCCGGGCCGCATTTGAAGTTCCCGTAGCCTTCGCCGAGGTCGACGTTGATGAAGACTTTGGTTCGTAGGGGAGGCATGTTGGTGATGGTGGTTATGTGTTTAGAGAGACCGTGTATTAGTGAAGTGGGTGACGATAAATGAGACGGTCGAGGGACCAACCCCTAAGCTGCTTGGAATACGTATCATGGTAGGTTCCATGGTCCTAGGAAGTGGGGTTGTTGGAGGCGGGGAGGCTGCCTATAGCAGTGTTGCGCTGCATTAGCGGCATTGTGCCTAATTTTGGGCATCATCACCTATGCTGCATAAAACTGACTTCAGTGGCAACCTGGCATCTCTATCGATGCCTTGGAGATCCCCCAAAGCCAATGTCCTGGAGGATCACTACGACCCACTTGCGAGGGGTTCGCTGCGCCCATCCAAAATAGCGTGCGGAGTAGGATCCATTATCCCCTCACCTTCCCGGCGCCTTATCTCCCTCCCTCCCGCTCTCGGTTTCAGATCAATGCCGAAATCGGTCAATAAGGACCAACACCCAGGTGACATCAACCCATCAAATGCTCGACTTTTCAAACCCAAGTCTCCTATGACGGCCCCCACGCCGAAAGACCCCAAAGTAGCGTTATATCGACACACCTCAAATTGTCAGGGGTTTTGCAAAGAAAAGTCGTGCAACACGTTCCGCACACCTGGGCACGCAGAATTCCAAATACTGTACTGCGAGCATGCCGTTAACCGGCCCCAATTCCAACTTTCAAAGCAGGGAAAGCTTAGGTGTTGCACCTGATGCTAGCTGTGCGACTGGGCCTTGCACATAATGCCGGGATGCATTCGGCCGCCGACCAGAGCCATTCAAGTGAGGTTGAATGTCCCCAGGAATTGGAACCAACACGAGGGCGGCAGTCATCCTGGAGACCAGTTTTGATTCTTACTCGTGGATCTACCCGAGGGCTGAAGGCATTGTCTAACATCTGGGAACAGGCGACAACCTTGTACAACAGGTCTAGACCATGGCATTGTAGTAGTATTCCTGGCAAACGAGCAGAGTGTCGGGTCGACTGACCCCATGTCTCCTTGAAATTCCGCCGTTGTGATCGGAGTGTTTCATTGCAGATGGCATTTGTCTAGGGAATGGGCAGTTTTTTGAGACGCGTTTTGATTGAAAGTCCGGTGTTGCTGATTGCTTGTCCTACCCATGGTGGAGCGGTGAATGGTTATCCAGGAATGGATGTTTTGGATGGAGCGGGACCTAGATAGGATGGACCGACGGTAAGTCGAGTAGTAGAGGAAAGTCAGAAGCCTGTTGCCTACTGGCAGATGTCTGTACAGTCGTAGTATCTGCTGCTTTGTGCTCTGGTGGCTGTGAAGTCGAGGATAAGCCGGCAGGTGACAAGGCGAGGCGGTCGAATAGGAACGCGGGGATTACCTCCCTCCACCACCCACCAACTAGCCAGCTACACCCAACTGCTGTCGCCCACACCGGCTGAACCTCTCCGATCCCTCTCAACCTCATCTGGCTCCCTGGTGGCGTCTGTCATCCTATCCCCGTCTCGCAGCGTTGTTTCAACATCGGCTGTGGTGTCCCCAGTGTTCAGTAACCCCTTCTTGAGCAACTGCTGCCATCTTCGTGTTTCTCTTTCAACAAATGCACTCACTGGTCGACGGGTAATTTCGTCCTCGCAAACAGTGGCGTTTGTCTCTTCCCCTCCCGCCTCCATCCATTATCATCGAAACCTGCATGAAAGGGAGTGTTCTAGCTCCAATCGCCATGCTTCCAATGGAGACCCGGCTCTTGTCTGAGCTCCTACCTCGGATCGACGAATCCGCGTCACACAACTCGCACCAGCTGTCTCCGCAATCTGCTGCTCTAGTGCAACTCTTATCACCTGGAGGTCCCTCTCTCTCCTCACCGTCTGGGGCCGTCTCGGGACGTTGAGTTATCTATCGCACATCCAGGCTTTCCCTATCTTTTCTGTTTCCCTGCCATCGGACAGACTAAACAGCCTTATCTGCTTTGGAAAGTCTCCAAGAAAGCTATTCGGCTGCTCTCCCCTCTTCCCTTCCCACCACCTAGTTGACGAGGTGACCCCCTCCTTCTTTCCTCGGACAAATATCTGCCTTCTATCTTCATACCTTTTATGATACATTCGATCTTGAATCAGTTTATGTCATCGTCACATCAAATTCCGATATGGAAAACATCAATATCCCTTCCCCATCTGCTATTCTAGACATCCAACGTCCCTCCACGTCGGCTGATGGGCTTTCCAACCCATCTGTATCTCCCAAGAATTCGTCTGCAAGCCAGCGAGGTGCTGCCAAAGATCGCAGCAAGCCAAAGCAGACCAAGAGCCGTAACGGTACGGTATTATTACTTTTCTACTAGTTTTAGCGCGGCGGTTGTGGAAGGGCGACAGATGTATGCAGAATAATGAGCACAAGATGCATGAGCAGAGACAAGGGCACAGACGCTCCATAAGTCGCAGCGCGCTGACGTCTTATTGTTCACCTTATCCAGGCTGCAAAACTTGCAAGGACAAGCGACTGAAATGTGACGAGACCAAACCAAGTTGTATTCAATGTAGGAAGCGAAACGTGACATGTGAAGGATACATAAAGAAATTCCAATGGCGCAACGGCTATTGGCAGAAAAATCTGAATGGGGGCACAAATGGCAGTGCAAATTCAAAAAAAGGTACGCCAACAGCCCCAGCTCATCGCGGTTCCCAGGGCCTTGATGCTGACATTTCTGTAGCTATCCAATATCAGTCTAATGAGAACTCAAGTTCAGAAACTTCAGGGTCATCCATCCCACAACACCAATCCAGGGCATCAAAGTCACAGCAAGCTGCGTCTAGTCTTCCTTCTTTGGGCTCAGGGTCTTTTATGGGTCTTGCTGACCTGACCTCGAAAAATGCATTGCCTTCAAAACGCACGAACAGGCATTCATTTAGCGACAAGGATTCTTTTGGCAATCCAGAAGTGTTTGTTGGTCAGCTAACGCCAGTGAGCTTCGATGAAGACATTCTCGCGTCGTCATTTACAGATATCTCGCCTTCAGACCAGATTTCATGGATTTCTGATGCCTCATTGGTTGCAGTAGAGCAAAAGTCGGAGACTGAGCGCGAGCCCAAACGTGACCTTGGGCGCAACAATTCCTATGCACAAGATGGTTTTAGCTTCGAAGAATTGATGGAAATTGATGATGAGGATATCGAGGAGATAGTACGAAGGCCCGACCGAAGTATGAAGTCCGGGCGGCCGGAAAACGCAGACATGAATGTCGCACCGCATCACGGACTGTTCAACATCTGCAGGGAGCCCAACCTCGGCGTTGCAAGCCCAGAGATGTTGGTTTTGCAATTTGACAGGGTGACGTGCGGGATACTGTCTGTAAAGGATGGTATTCATGAGAATCCGTGGCGTACTTTGATCTGGCCATTGGCCAAGGAGACTCCGGCTTTGTATCATGCTGTGTTTTCGCTTGCTGCCTTTCATTCAAGCAAAGAGGTTCCAGCCTTGAGAGTTCATGGTGTGGATCACATGCGCCAGAGCATCACCCACCTAGTGCACGACATACGGAACATGAGGGTTGATGCAGCATTAGCCACGAGCCTGGCGCTTGCTTTTGCTGATACCTGGGACCAACACACTCGTACCTGCATTCAGCATCTGAAAGGTGCCAAAGCACTGGTCTCGCAAGTGGTGGGGCTTGGTGCTCAAAGCGAGATGCGTGGGATTAACCTGAGCAGGGTGCGTTTCCTTTACAACACCTGGCTGTATATGGACGTAATTGCTCGCCTGACCTCTCGTGAAGAATCGGGGGATCAGGAGGTGGATGCACCCTTTTTCCAACCCCCAAGCCACGCTGTACATGAGATTGATCCTTTGATGGGCTGTGCAACGACACTTTTCCCTCTAATCAATCAAGTGGCTCGGTTGGTTCAGCGTGTTCGCAAGACGGCATCCAATTCCATCTCGCTTATCTCGCAAGCCATAGAGCTGAAAAGGCTTGTTGAGCAGTGGGAACCCCCGCAATTCTTCGAGCCCCCAGAGGACCCATCTTCCGAAGTCCAACATAGTATTCAAACAGCCCATGCTTATCGCTGGGCAACACTACTATACCTTCACCAGGCGGTACCTGAGATGCCGTCGGAGCCGACCTCCGAGCTTGCCAAACGCGTGCTGATCTTGTTGGCTACCGTTCCTTCCAGTTCTCGAACCCTAATCATCCAGATGTTCCCTCTGCTGGCGGCAGGGTCCGAAGCAGAGCAAGAGGATGATCGTCAGTGGGTGTTGAGCCGGTGGGAGTCTATTCAAACGCGCCTCATGCTGGGCTCAATCGATCGCTGCATTGAGATAGTCCGCGAAGTCTGGGCCCGCAGGGATGCGTTCGAAGATGAGAAACAACGGTTGCGGGGATCGTCTGGGCGCGGGGCCAACTCTGTCATGGAGACTTTGACGAATGATAGAGTACCTCTCACTAGCCTTAAGTCGAATGATCAAATGGTCCGTAGTACCTACGCCAAGGAGCCATGGAGAAGGACGATCCAGGAGGAATGGTTGGCCTCTAAGGCTACTATTGGACACTCACGACGGAGCTCCGCCATGTCCCCGTTGGAGAATATTGAATTCGAAAAGACAGTTCGCGGCAGGTTGCACTGGATTAACGTAATGCAGGATTGGGGATGGGAAGGTACGTTTGAGCTTTTGCTTGTTGTTTCATTGGAATTTTGCTTTGCTATTCGTACTTGTGGAGAACACCAGCTCATTCATATAGTGTTCCTGGGTTAAGACCAGGGTCTTTAGTGTGTTCGACACGAGCGCATCTTCATCACAGGGCGGGGGCGGCCACCACAATCGTTATTCTTGCTTCCTTTCCGGCATGGCTGCTCTCGCTGGGCTGTTTCGTCGGAATTACTCGAGCTGGTATTCGTCTCGGAGTCTTCGGCTGGATCCTCTGTTGGAGAAGCTGGGGGCTTATTCTTAGCCAGATACGATCGGAGAGAGGCCAGATAAGGCTCCAGATCGCTCGTTATGGACACGGTAGTAGCCATGGTTGCGAGGGCTGTACAATGATTGCCTGAAGACGATGGAAGGGTTGATGGCGCGACGGAGAATATATGTCTTTTTGGAATTGTTTGAATGGGTCTTGTCGCGCGCGGGGTCTTACAAATCTGGAGCTTGAAATCAGCAAGGCGTTCTGCGATGAGTGTAGCGAATAGTCACATTCTTTACGGGACTACCTGGACGTTTGGTCAGATCCCGGGGTGCTTTCTTTTCGGAATGAATTATTGTCGAGCTATGGCGCGTCGGTATATGATCTTGAGTGTCGCTAGGGAAGAGAAAGATTTCTGGCCGGGATTACTGGCAGACTGGATGGCGCATGGGACAGACGATAGCAGTTCGCAAGGGGAGTGTACTAGGAGTACTAAGACCGACTTTCTGGCGATTTGAATATAGGTCTGAATGGGGGCAGACAGGCGACAGCAGGCGGGCAGTCAGCAGTCAGTCGCAGTGGACAGTTTTTGATGATTTGTTCGATCGTATACAACTGTCTACAAGATGAACAGTCGGGGCGTATATGCGAAGACAGGACAAGTCGACGGTGGTTATGCTGCTAGGAAGTAGTTGAGGGGGTTCTGCGTGAGGAAGAAGAAACTGGTCAAGATCTGCATTGGGTGGCCGGTAGTGATGGTTGTTCTGTCGCTTGGGCTGTTCGGTCGGTATCGTTTTTTCTGGTCGCGAGTCGAGATTTCCCTGATTCTTTCTTTCTTTTCTTTTTGCTTCTTCTTTGCTTCTTCGCCAACTACCAGAAAAGAAAGGATCAGGATTGCAGGCAGGGTGGGAAAAGCCAGCGTTTTAAGACTGGCCGATCCCCACCAACCGCAGACTACGGGCTTAGTTCAGCTTTGCTTTTACTTGCTTAGGAAAGGGAAAGGGAAAGGTTGAGTTTACTCTGCTTAGTTAGTCAATTAGTTAGTTCTTTTTCTGCTATGGTCTGATTTCGGATCTTGCTTTGCCTTGCATGAGTGATTTGAGTGGGAAATGCAAGTCAATCTGCGGATGAGCTAACCTACTTACTCACTCTTACCTACGGAGAGTCCGGTCTTGAAGATACAAACTCTTCATAGGGGAAGGTTCCCCGGGTGGGGAAGGGAGATGGAGAGAAGAGTGACTGTTGGATGGGTGGATGGATGGATGGCCGGCTTTACTGAACTGGGCAGGTGGATGATCATTGCGCTGGGGGGGAGGAAGGAGGGGGCTCAGACGCTGGCTGCATGTGAGGTGTTTGACGGCTTTTACAATTCTATGATACTATTGATTAGGTAGATATGAGGGGTGGTCAGGTGGGTGGACTTGTTAGGATAGGCTTATTGAAATTGATCGAAGTCGTCATGGACGTCGAAGATGACGAGTATGATCAGTTGCTTGCCTGCATTTCGTGGTTGAGTATAGTATAAGATTAATAGGGTGAGACGGGCGCCAGCAGGAAGAGAAAGGAGGGGAGGGATGGATATGCGAGGGGGGGATAATTACCGACTACTTAGTTGCTAACTACTTACACTACTTACTAACCAACCTTGAAGGACTAACTATCTTGTCGTATCATATCATATCATATCAATCCACGAGGATTGGCGGAAGTACTAACCCATCTGGGGTAAAATATCCTGCTTGCTTGCTTGCCTGCTGCCCTGCCCGTGGTCGGATATCCATACCCTTCTCTCCCTCTTAGGCTACCTGATTCCTGATTTCCATTGTTCCTGTTCGGATCTAGTATCCTATCTATTCTTCTTTTCTGGCATAGCTGTTAGTCGCACATACTATACTGTCTCCGTCTCTTTACCTGTATCAAGCTCACCCCGGTTTCCTCCGGCCTATCTGATAACTTTCCGGAACTGAGCAGACTGACTGATCTTCCCCTCATCGGGGTTTTCTCTGCTTGCTTGCTTGCCTGCTTACTAACTACCCCTCAGTTCGCGAACCCCTGCTGGGATTGTCGCATGTTGTGTCGATAGTCTGTCGAAGCGTGCTATCTATCCTACTACAGAAGTCAGATCCGTGCGAAAGGGAACAGACAAACAGCAAAGGAGAGGAAAATGGATTGCTCCGCACGAGTATAGAATCTCCGTTGTAGGTAATGGGATCAGAGATGTGCGAGGATAATGACTTGGGGGGTTTTTTGTATATAATGGTTGTGTTGGCCTGGCTAATTAGGAGGATAGAATACTAGCAGATTGGCATCTAAGTACTATCTATTTGTGGTTACAAAAGATCAAGTCTACACAGCAAGCAACAATCATGGCTATCGCATTCAAGCACCACCCTCGATCTCAACAAACCTACGAGCCTCCGCTCATTGCCAATGAGAATGCTTTTCTGGGGGATGTGGATTCGAGGTATATCCCCTCAAGTTCTCTGGTTATTTCACTCATAATCATAGTATGAGTGAGTTATTAATTGTTATTCGGTAACACTAAACATGGGATAGTGACAGCTACAACCCCGAAAAACCCATCTCGGCCGGTTTCTACCGTCTTGAAAAAGGCACCCCGCTGGTTTACGAATACACCTTCGATGAGATGAAGATCATCCTGGAAGGCAAGTTCGAGATCTCGGATGAGACCGGCCAAAAGGTTGAGGCGTTTCCGGGCGATGTGTTTCATTTTCCCAAGGGGAGTAAGGTTACTTTTACGACGCCGTCTTATGGGTTGGCTTTCTTCGTGAGTCTACTTTTCTGTTTTTGCTTCTCTTCATTATTGTTTTGCTTTTTGGTTGCTGACTGACTGGATGGTAGACGGGACAACGGGCCAAGACTGCTTGATTGATGATGTAATTGATTTATCCTGGGTTGTTGAGTTAGTGCCTTGCTGCTAGGAAGGGCTATTTGTTATCGAGGAGGGGTTTCCACACTAGTTTAACTGGAAATGTGCGGGAAAAGTAGTTGATGGCTGGGATGGATTGGGGGATGAACCATGGTTTGGTAGACAAAAAGGTCCACTGATTATGGGAGCGGTTCCTTGGTTGTGTTTACGGGAAGTGTAAACAAGAACCAGGGCGCGATGACGATGGGTGGATTGCACCCCTCTTTTCTCTAAATCAACCATCATTATTTCAATATGGAATCGCTTTCAATTTAAAGAATGTAATTGTTGTAGTCTGGACCGGAACACACTGTTGTGTGACTGTCACAGAGCTGTATACACCCAATGGATGGGATGGGATTTAAACATCACCCACACCACCATCACCACTACTAAAAAGGTTTCCCCCCTCCTAAATGATCAACTCAGCTACCATCTTAGATCTGCCCCATGGGATCGGAGACGATCTCACCAACAAGGTTCCAGATATAGAATTACGACTAGTTTCACCCCGATGGCTGGACACTAGTTTCTCACCCTCGTCTAAATGTAGTGGGAAAATGACGTGCAGAGACAATCTGACTGGTGGTGGGAAAGCATGACTCCATCCTCAGCCTCACGAGTTCCCCAATCACCAGCCGAAAGGGCGTCAGGAACGAGATTGACTCGCGGCTGGCCCTGGCATCGCAACAGGCATTGGAGGAGCAGATGGGATCGGAACAAGGGAGTTACCCCAGCAACGTTGCGATGGTCGCTGAGAGAGGGGCGGCGCAGAGATGGATCGGAGGCATTTCGTTGGCCTGCAAGTCAGAGTGGCGGGCTTCAGCTGCGGCTCATCTTTTGCTGAAGTTAAATTGGTTTCCTGCCAGAAAGACACTGTACTTGGAGGAGAAAAGTGGATGAGTTTGAGAGAAAGAAAGAAAAGAAAGTAAAGAAAGAAAGTGAGAGAGCGAGAGAATATTCACTTTTTTGACTTCCTTCCCCCTCTCGCCCCTACTTCTACAACTTCCTCTGTCCTTTTTCTTCCTTCTCCTTCTTCATCACTACTCAATCCATCGGGCATCGTCTCTTTCTCCCCTGACTGACTGACTGACTTGTTCTTGTCGGGTCACCCTCGTCCTTGCTTCTCTCCATTCCTGCCCGAACAAAGTCATTCATCCACTCTCCTCTTCTGCCTCGTTGCTTTTTCCTGTCTGTCTCCGCCCTTTCTTTGCTTTTTCAAATCTCCCTTTTGTTTTCCATCGCATTTCTTTTTTCGTTCGCTGGGGATTCCGAGTCCCTCTACTCGTGCTTTAATTTCCTATCCCCCGTTCCTTTTTAATCTCCCCGCCACGACCTCTCTCTTACCTCGCGGTCGTTGTTTAGAGACACCCGTGCCTGTGAGCTCATTCATACCTCCACCGGTTGAGAACGGTCGCCAGCACACTTCCGAGCCCAACATGGCTCTCAATATCGACACCTCAGATCGCCCAGGCCTCCGTCTCCCCAACCCGCCGCCACTCCTTCATACTCGTGCCGGAAATGAAGCTCTCGATCGCCCCTCCACGCCCGCTGAGACTGGGTTCACTAGCCCTGTGCAAACCCCCCAAGGGAGTCCCAGCAAAAACCGCATGCCCCCCGGCGCAATCGACCTGCCCAACGTGTTCGAAAAAGCCCTCAAGCTGAACCCCACCTCTCCCACCAAAGGCACCTATAACCACTACAACCACCCCATGTTCGCGCCGCCCCGATCCGGCGAGGACTTTACCGAAAGTGTCATCCGTCAGCCACCGGGCAGTCCCACGCGCAAATCCAACAAAGAAAACACTCCCCCCAACTCCACTCGTCTCACCAAAGACCTCGGTCCGAACCCCGCGGCCGCTGCCATCTCCCGTCATGAGCCATACCAGCAACGAGATCTCGAGAGCATCCAGCGTCGTCAGGTCCCCATGCGGGGGTTGACCCCGGAGGAGTTGGAGAAGCTGCAGAATCCCCGGGTCAAGCGACTGGTAAATGTGACACAGCTCTGTAGGTACCATACCCAGCAGGTGCTCTCAGTGTATTGGCTAACTGTCTAGACTTCCTCGATCATTACTTTGATTTATTGAGCTACGTGCACAACCGCCAAAACCGCTATGCGCAGTTCCGTTCTTCCAACCCCGAACCCCCCGCCACTCCGATGGAGACGTATGAGCCCGCTCTGCTGAAATATCTGGGTCGGGAACGGGCCCACCTCCGCAAACGCCGCACTCGACTCCGCCAGCACGACTTTCAGATCTTGACCCAAGTGGGCCAGGGAGGTTATGGACAGGTCTATCTGGCGCAGAAGAAGGATACGCGGGAGGTGTGCGCGCTCAAAGTTATGAGCAAGAAATTACTTTTCAAGTTGGATGAGATCCGCCATATTCTCACCGAGCGCGATATCTTGACGGCCGCGAAGAGCGACTGGTTGGTCAAGCTGCTCTACGCATTCCAGGATGATGACCAGATCTACCTGGCCATGGAGTATGTCCCAGGAGGTGACTTCCGCACGCTGCTAAATAACACTGGAGTCTTGCACAATCGCCATGCGCGGTTCTACATTGCAGAGATGTTCAGCTGTATTGATGCCTTGCATGCGCTGGGGTACATTCACCGCGATCTGAAGCCAGAGAACTTCCTCATTGACTCGAGTGGTCACGTTAAGCTGACCGACTTTGGCTTGGCGGCGGGTATGCTGAACCCTGGCAAGATTGAGTCCATGCGGGTGAAGCTGGAGGAGGTTGGCAACACGCCGGTGCCCTTTGGTCGTCCCATGGAACAGCGCACGGTGGCAGAGCGTCGCCAGGGATATCGGTCGCTGCGAGAGCGTCAGGTCAACTACGCCAAGTCGATTGTTGGCTCGCCTGACTACATGGCCCCAGAAGTGTTGAAGGGAGAACAGTATGATTTCACGGTCGACTACTGGAGCTTGGGATGCATGCTCTTCGAGGCCCTCGCCGGATACCCGCCGTTTGCAGGCGCGACGGTAGATGAGACGTGGCAGAACCTGAAGAACTGGCAAAAGGTGCTCCGCAAGCCGGTATACGAAGACCCGAACTACTTCCTGTCGCGACGCACGTGGGACCTGATCACCAAGCTGGTGGCCTCGAAGGAGAAGCGATTCAAGAACATTCAGGAAATCCACGCGCACGACTACTTCAGCGAGGTGGACTTTAACCATCTGCGCGAGCAGCGTGCGCCGTTTGTGCCCGAGCTGGATTCGGAGACAGACGCGGGCTACTTTGACGACTTTACCAACGAAGCGGACATGGCCAAGTACAAGGAGGTCCACGACAAGCAACGCGCGCTGGAAGAGATGGCGGAGCGTGATGATAAGATGAGCAAGGGATTATTTGTTGGATTTACATTCCGGTACGCCTCCATCAGCTGTGTGATTACAGGGACATGCTAACAACAACAACAGACACCGCAAGCCGGCCATAGACGGGCTGGGACGCGGCTCACCGCGCAAACCGATCGCGACGGACGGATCATTCGGAACGATGTTTTAGGCTGTATGAATCACGGGAGTTCTATTCGGGCACGAGCTGGATCTCGAGGATTGTTTTAGCGAGTACGGTTTTAATGGCATTACCAATGGGATGTGGTATGAGAAAGGAGTTGTGTATGATACAGCTATCGTAGAAACATCCCTGCATACATCAATTCGCAGTATACACTTGAACAGAATAGTAAATTGCTCAGTTCAACTCCTGCACCATCTTCAAAATCTCCGACTCATTATCCCCAACAACAGCCTGTCCTTTCGTCCAATCGACCGTCTAGCCCCAGGAAACCTGTTAGCACGCACAATCCCCCTTAACCCTTCACCTCAAAAAAACAAATGAAGTCACTTACAATCGGCCTCACAAAAGATCCCTCCGGATCCGCTTTGAACCGTTTAATCGCATCCTCCGCATCCCTCGCCCCCCTCACCACCTCCTCAACCTTATACACCTTCCCGACCCCCGAGCCACCTCCCGCACCACTACCCGACACATAATCAAGTATATTCCGCAACTGATCGCTCGTCGGCGGGGCCGTGCTCACTTCGAGTTGGAATTCGCCTCGCGGAGTAGATGTCGTGCTGGCTGCCGTTGTGGATGCGCGTTGCAGGATGCTGAGGGCGGATTTGCTGGATGCTAGCTGCGGGGAGTGGAAGAGGGTTATCGGGTCGAGGGTTTTGGCCTGTTCAATTACTTCCGTTATTAGCTGGTAGTTGGGGATGGAATTGGGGGATGGGTGGATGGGATTAAGGGAGATGCGTACGAAGCGGAAGACCATTTTGGATGTTGGTTGGGTTGAATTGAGGGGGATGTAGGTGTAGGTGTAGGTGATAAGGTTGTGTCGTGTTGATGTGCTGAGTGGTATTGGCAGGGGTCTGTCTGTCTGGCTGGCTGTTTTGTTCTGGAGGAGATAATTGGAGTGGTTGGGTCTTGCTGATTACGTCATATGATTTTGACTCACTCCATACGGAGTAGTGTTGATATTTGGTTGCCCGTTTGGGTGCCCGACTTTTGCTTTCAAATTCTTTCTTTTTGGTTTTACTGTTAATGCGGTTGTTTGTTGAATATTGGCTGGCTAACTGTCATTACTTAATGGTATAGCAGTGTATGTGAATTCATTTAAGCAGTAGATTGCATCATTTAGTTCATCGAGTCATCATTGAAAGTCAAGTCAAGGGTATCATTATCTATATACATATGCTTATAGCTCACCACCCAAACTGCTCAACATGCAAATATATCCCCTGCGCCCCTGTCCCCTTGTGTACTGCCCGCTCATCGCTCAGACACACCACGCTGCGTCGCACGTCGTCGGACAGTCCGCGGGGTCCGCACACCACTACCGCGCTCTCGCCCTCAGCTTTCTCGAGGACCTTGCGGATGATCGTGCGCGCGTGCGGTCGACCAGACAGGACTGTAAGATTGGGTAGTGGTTTCTGCGCGGGCTTCGAGTCCGATTCTGTTGCGAGCTCGCTTGTCGTGGACGACTGCGGCGCGGCATGCCCCGAGCATGTGCAATTCGTAGCGTCGATGGCATCTTCATCTTTAATGGGAGCGGTGCAGCAGCAGTTTCCGTCTGGTTGACACCCGGTCTGCTCTACAGATTCAATGGCTACAGCATCGGTCGCTGATTTCTCTGCTTCGAGAGACTTCTCATTCGCGGGTAGGGTCGTCTGCAGCTGTAATAGTGACTGTTCCTGGGCGCAGAGCGTGTTTTGCGCCGGTTGCTCTAGCTTCTCGTCACAAGTGATATATATGCTCATCTCGACCTCTCGGATGATGTCCGGGTTGGCGAGCCGAACTTCTTCAACATTCCTCAGCACCTCCTGCAATTGGTGGTCGAACCAGCTCAGCTGCGTGCGCGATTTGATCACCCAGACGAACCGAATCCGCTTGGTTGCTGCGAGCCGCCGTGTGCTTTCAGCCTTCCACTTGGCGACTATATCCCGCAGGCACGGCACAGTGAATGTCGCTCCCATGCCTCCAGCGAGTAGAATCACGCTGTCAAACTGCTTCAGAGGTCGCATTTGTCCATACGGCCCCTCAATAAAGACTGTACGTGCCCGCTTCGCGGGCACCTGGTCACTAGTCCCAAGCACCTGGTGGTTCTTCGAAGCATAACGGAAGAAGCGTCGAGTGCCGCCCTTTTCTGCGCGCACGTACATCACCATTTTGTTGTCTTCCGGAATAGACGCAATGGTAAAAGGATGGCTCTGCAGAGGCACGATGGAGTGGCATGTGAGAAACACATGCTGACCCGGCTTCCACCCGACTCCGGGATTCTCAATCGCTATACGAGTTACATTGCCTGGTAACGGGGTGAAAGTCGCCCGGTTAGCCCAAAGGGCATGGGCCGGACTCTTCGAACGATGGAATATCGACAAGTTCGCATAAGTTGCCCACAAGTAGCGCGCCACCCGGTCGAAGACAAGAAAACCGATCGGAATCCACACCCACACCTTGACTTCTGCCGGTGCGTGGAGCCACACAGCAACGGTGAAACCAACAAAGGTCACCAGATGTTGTAGAACGAAGAACTCGTACCCAAACCGTCGAATCGGGGCGGCGGACGTAATCACGATAAAGGTCAGAATGATCCATGCGGCGAAGCCTCTCGTCGCCAGGGTGTAGTTCTTCAGCTCATAGACGATGTAGTTGTAGCGGCCCCAGTCACGAAACCAGAAGCACATGTGGATGGTAGCGGTCAACCACAGCGTCCGCGCGATCCACCGATGAAACCAATTGAGACGCTCGTAGCTCATACCTACGAGCATGCCGATGAGATTCTGCCTGCCCGCCAGGAGGAAGATCAACGGCAGCTGGCAAATGGCGATAAACCCAGTGCGGTAGCCCACATCTTCCCATTTCCATTGGTCGGCCGTGTCCAGCTTGTAGAAACAAAAGACGAGCACGACGATGAGGTTGGCCAGGATGATGGCCACAGGGCCCAACGGCGCAAAGTGATAGGAGTGGCCGCGTAATGACAATGGGGGCAAAGTCGCGTAGCTTGCTTCACGCACGATGGCCGTTAAGGTGGCATATGTGCTGAAGAAGATAGACTTGGGCTTGGAGGGGGTCAAGGACGAGTCCTTTAACCTGGGAGAATGAGCATAACGTACTTCGATAAACGTTAGTATACTTACCTTTGGTAGGCGAGGAAGCGATTCAAGATGTTGATGACGGTTCCAGCAGCGATGGCACTCCCTACAACAGCCCAGTACATCTTCTGCAAATAGAACAGACCAGGCACGCCATTTCCCATGGACATGTGGCCCATGCCAGACATGGACATGTCCATCTTGCGGGTATGTAGATTTGTCTTCCGGGATTAGGGTATCAAGAAAAAAGAGATCAGTATATACTAGAAATGAAGGATTAGCAGTATCTGGGTGTTCAAGGCATGATGGTCGAAAGACATGGCACAATGTACATGTCGCGGGGGACGAAAGAGGAGGAAGCGAATGACAATTAGGCGAAAACGAGAGACTGAAGGCCCGAGATCGAACCCGATGCCAATGCTGGTATAGTCGATTTGAGTGTAATTGAGAGAAAATGAGAGGGAATCATGAATAATGAAAGAGTGAGTAGTAATAATCTGCTCAATCCCCACCTGCTAATCCGGCCATGCTTTCGGACGGGCCTTGAGCTCTGCAGCTGCTGATTGGCTCCCGCGGCCAAAATGTGCTCAAATGCCGCCCAAATGTGCTCTAGCGCCATCGGCCGCTTGCTTGGCGGGTCCGCGAGGTTTCGAGGTCCTTTAAAGATGCGGAAAATCACCGGGTGTGACAGCCATGGCCCGCTTTTTGATGTCTTCATTAACATTCCATTCCTCTTTTCCCTCTTCCTTTTTCCCAACCCGTCATATATAAATATCTTGTACATAGGGCTGGTGCTTGAACTTCTTTGCATATCTTGGTTTCCCACATTCCAGTTCACCTCTCCTACCCGAACCGTCCATACCAAACACCATCCTAATCCTACTCTGCTCCACCCACACTACATCACGACTTACCAACAATGGACATGAGCTCTATGACCGGTATGGACATGGGGACCACCTCCACTACCATGTCCGGCATGTCAATGGCTACCACCACCGCTGCCTCCGCATCGTCCACTATGGACATGTCTATGGGCTCCTCCACCTCTACCTCTATGTCCATGCCCATGTCCTCCTCTTCTTCTTCTATGTCCATGTCAATGTCAATGGTCTTCATGAACGCCCACGACACCCCCCTCTTCTCCAACCAATGGACCCCCTCGTCCAGCGGTACCTATGCCGGTACCTGCATCTTCCTCATCGTCCTCGCCATCATCTCCCGCTGTCTGGCCGCCTTCAAGGCCCTCATGGAACGCCGCTGGCTTGACGCCCACGTCAACCGTCGCTACATCGCCGTCGCAGGGAAATCCACCGAAGCGGGTCGCATTGACTCGGATCCCGAATCCAAAGAAGCCAGTCTCATCACAGCCCAAGGTGTCGAGGAGAAAGTCAAGGTCATCCGCAAAGCGGCGCGCGAACCACTCCCTTGGCGTTTCAGTACGGATCTTCCTCGCGCGCTGCTCTTTCTTGTCATCACGGGTGTCTCTTACCTACTGTATGTTCCCATACCCTCTACCTCTATAGATAGAAGAAAACCACATACTGATACAATTCAAACACAGTATGTTGGCCGTCATGACCATGAACATCGGATACTTCTGCTCTGTCCTCGCCGGTGCCTTCCTGGGCGAGCTTGCCGTGGGACGCTTCATTCAGTGGAACGAGCATGAACATTAGTCCTACCCACATACATATCCATTTCGGGTTACTCGAACATAACGACTTCGATTCTAATGCACGGTGTTTTCGGTTCGGGTGTTGGGTCTGGCGTTGCATTGCATTGCATTCATTTCATATTACTGGGATAGCGAGCCTGTGACATGTGCACTGTTGGCTTTTTTTGGGTTTTTGTCAGATACCACATTCCGCTTATTGGTTTTTTTTTTTTTTTTTGTTTTTTTGCGAGCCTGTGACATGTGCACTGTTGGCTTTTTTTGGGTTTTTGTCAGATACCACATTCCGCTTATTGGTTTTTTTTTTTTTTTTGGATCTCTGCTCTGTCTCTTTTTGGCCCTTCCATTGGTGATACCATTACAGTCGAAGGGGGGTGTGATTAGCTTAGACTCCAGTACATAGAGATAATGTCGTGGGAGTGTTTTGGACAGTGTCGGCATAATGGGACATGAGTTTGGTCGAAAAGTATTACATGGGGTACTGCATAGATAGATCCTGGTAGGCTTTGCAGGTTATAGTGTACACTATTGGCAGGTGGCGTGATCGGCTGTAGGTTGTCCCACTCCTATTGGTGCGGATGGGAACCACACGGACGGCGCGGACAGGGATCCATGCCACTAACCGCGAATGGCAATTGATACGCTGCGATGTCTTTCAGATTCAACTTGTTGATGCTATTCATGTTGGAAATCCATCCGTAAAGATACCGACTACTTACTTTGTATCGACAATTTGTAGGAATACACAGGCCGCTAACCACTGGCCCCCTTCAAAATCCCCCATTGGATCAAACTACAAATCCATCATTCAGTTGCAATCTCAAAAGCACTGGTCGGCCGTGCATTCAATCCCGCCTGAACGTACGTCTCGTCGATCGCCTCCATCTGCGCAATGCTCTCCTCACCGTCGATCCACACCCCGGAGCCCGCCCGACCCTTGATTCGATTCACAAACTCTTCTAGCTGACAGCGCCAGGTCGTCCACCATTCCTGATACGTTTGTGCTCGCACATCGCCCGCTGGCCAATTGTATGCTTTGAGATGCTCCGTCACATCCCACGTCTTCACAATCTCTTCCCCTCGGCGGATAGTATGCTTATCGCAGATATCGATCCGGTGATAGACTGTCGGAATGAGGTGATTCCACAACGTCACTTTCCGTTGGACAAAGTGGCGCTCTTCATTGCCCTGGCCACTAAGTAGTATCTCTCCTGATCCTGCCTCGGTCATGGGCCATTTGAACGATGGCAGGGAATGAGATCATGACGCCGGAAGAATCGAAGGTCCTCCCCCATATAACAAATCACCCCTAATTTCTGCGGTCTTGTCACTGTCCGTAGCGTAGGTAGCTTTTATTGCCACGTCAATTTGTGGCTCCACCTGAGATCCATCTGATGCAACAGGCAAGGGGCGATGCATTGCTTCAATGGGATTGAGATGCTCCCCCCTACCCAGGACCTGCCGCACGCAGGAGAGAGGATACGTTGCCAAATCCATGAGACAGCCGCCTGACAAGCCATATTTAAAGCGGATGTCATCCTTATTCAGATACCCTTTGGGAAGATACTGCTGGGAATAGACACGGTCTACAGTCGCGCCCCAGGGAAGGTGATTAACATGGTAGAGAAAAGCCTGCCAGGCTGGGTGAAACTGATAGTGAAAAGCCTCAAGGAGCACTGGGGCATTCGGTCCAGTCACCAGTGGGTGCCGGAAGAGTTTCCGTGCCTCCTCGGCATTCGAGCAGGAAGGCTTCTCAAGAAGGACATGCTTTCCTGCTTGAATGGACCGCAGGGCCCACTCGTAGTGTAGAGAATTCGGCAGAGCTATATAGACTGCGTCGATGGCTGGATCGTCCAGAAGGTCTGACACGTGCATTTAGACTCTCCATGCTCCGTTAAGGTCAAGCCAGTTGTGGAGAAGCTCACCTTGATAGGTGTTATGGACAATCGGAATGCTGTGCTTCTTGGCGTACTGACGGGCACGCTCGCGATCACGAGCAGCGACCGCTGCCACGATGACTTCCGGGTGCGACTTGGCGGGGGTAATCACGGCTAGGGGGCTAGAGCAGACATAAGTTAAACGGCCTGCATGTCGGTGCTTCATCAACTTACGCTATGGTGGATGCTCCAAGCAGTCCTATTCTGATGGCGTCATCCCTCTTCGTCGGGGTCGGCGGGCTAACTGCCGCATAGTAGGCTCTCTTCACGAAATCGAAGAATAACATAATGAATGATGGCTGGGTAAATGTTGAATTTCAATTAAGTCTCTGTAAGACTGTCTGATATGCCAGTGTGGCAATGGCACGTAAAGGTAGCACGGACAACTCTTTGTTGTCAGAGGCGGGCGCTTCCCGCCATCAGTCGTTCTAGACTGCATCGCCAGACAGCAGGTGACTTCCGGATTTGATGTCTCCGTCTAATTCTCTGTCTCACTCATTTACTTGGGAAGCTGCTGCTGGCGCTCCTTCCAGTTGTCACAGTATCAACATAGAGCTTTCCTAGAATGGAGAGTGCATAGCATCTATCTAGGAAATCAATGTCGCTCAGTTATCGAGTGCAACGGCATTTTTAATGTCAGCACCGCCAGATTATCATGATCTCGAATCACGCAATGCTCTCTCTAAGTACAGAGTCGATCCGGTCAAATTTCCACAAACTGACTGTTGGGCAGATGAATTATCGAGAACTGACTCGGTGGCGGAACTGAGATGTGCCTAGAAATGGTGAGCCGGGTACCATTCCGTTCCTTGGCTATTTAGTGCTATCAAACTGACACCGAAACTACTAGTAAGTAGACATCGTATAACCACAATGCTTCAGAGCATAGTCCTCCATGTCTTATATCCGAGGGCATAGACATGGGCTCAGACACAATGGGCTGGCTTGGCAATCCCCCACATGGGCGGACTTGAACCGGGGAACTTCACCGGATTTGCCAGTCTTGAGAAGAAATGAGCACATTTCCTAACCCAATCAGCCCTAGTGCTGCCAGGACTCACTGCAGGGTCCCTTGAGCTCCAGCTGCTTAGTGGCACAAAACAACATCCGAGATACATGTTAGTGACTAGTATCAGATCCATCGGCTTTGGTCTCTTCTGCGGGAATAGTGCTCGCTCATCCTGTAATTTACCTCGCTTAACCCTGTACAATCCCGGCCCTGCCGTAGATTTTTACTATAACCAGCTCTTACCCGCTCGGAAGCAAGTCTTGCATGAGTATAAAACCATCGAGGGTTCCTGTGTAGCATCTATCCCACGACACTTTCGCTCTTCACATCGCCCCGATTCCTCAATCTTCACCACCATGAAGCTCCCTATCCTCTACCTCGCATCTCTTGCGCCCTTGGTCGCCGCCCACTTCGAGCTCAAGTACCCTACCAGCCGTGATGGATCTGAAGAGGAGATGACCCAATTCCCCTGCGGTGGAGCTGCCCAGTCCAGCAACCGTACGCAGGTGTCCATCTCCGCCGGTTCTTTCCCCGTCGCATTGTCCATGGGCCACTCCCAGACTGCTGTCGAGGTCCTCCTGGCACTGGGTTCCGATCCCGGAACCAACTACAACATTACCCTTCATCAGACCTTTGAAATCCAGGGATTGGGTGCTTTCTGCCTTCCGCACATCAAGTTCGACGAATCCATCCTCGGCACCAACATCACCGATGGAATGAATGCAACCGTGCAGGTCCAGAGCAATGGTGACCCCACCGGAGGCCTCTACGCTGTATGTTGCCCTGTCGATTGCTCGGTGTGAGAAGATGCTAACTTCGCCCAGTGCGCCGACATCCAGTTCTCCTCGACCGTGGATTACGAAGAACCGTCCTCCTGCTCGAACAACACCGGTGTGACTGCTGTGGCCTTCACTGGAGCTGCAGCAGAGCGCAACGCGAATGAATCTACTGCCTCTGGAGAAGCACAGAGCAGCTCCTCTTCTAGCACTTCCTCGGGCAGTTCAACCACTGCGACCTCCACTGGCGGTGCTGTTGCTTTGGAGACTGCTGCGTGGGGTATGCTGGGCGCTGCAGTTGTCGGTGGAATGGCTCTGCTGTAAGAGATAGGGCCAAATACCACAACCGTCTATGTTGTATTATGCAACCTGGTACACTGGGAGATGAACTGGGCTTGAACCTACCTTGCCTTCTCATGTTTATTCTTCTAGAGTTGAGGGTCTACGAGAATAACATCATATTCGGGCTTCTGGATTGTCCCTCACCGACAATTCCATTGCCTCGATTACATCTTGTCGCGACATAATTCCCATGTGCGCAAGACTATCCAATTCATGTACCAAATTTCTGGAGCCGTATATTGTGATCACTAGTGTGTCCGAATTCCGAACCCACATCTTGGGTATACATTCTCGGGTTTCCAAGCTCAACTTGTCGAGGTGAAAGTGCAGCATACATTTTATGATTTATGAAATACCCATTGTAACTAGCGAGAGCCAATAATCAAAGCGAAATTACTCAAATCACTGGAAATAAATCTCAAAATAGTTGTATACTGGCATTGTATCGTCTTGTTATTTACCCTGTGTATATTCATACCTAGTGTCATACCGTCGCAAAGTAATCCAAGCAAATTCCATGCCGGATACAACCAATACGGATCACGAGCCAAGCTCTTGAACAGATTCCTTTACTATAATGTGCTTCTCTTCGAGGAAGACAGCTCGCCTTGGCTTACTTTGAAAATGTGTTTGGCTAGATATTACTCCGGGATAGTTGAGTACCAGCATAAGCATAATGCTCTTGCATTTCAGTCCCGGTTATGACACATGATACTAGGATTGATTTCATATACAGCCATCATTATTCTAATGAATTTTCCACAGGATGTTCTTTCCCTTGACATCAAGCCACTTTTGGTTTACCTTTGCCATTTGACTCCGACCTCACTTCATGAGGGCCCAAAGAAGTGCGTAGAGAGGGTTATGGAGTATTTGATTGAAAATCCATAGTACCGTACTATTAGTAGCTGTTGGAGCCCATGGTTGCAGTAACTGTTACCCTTGGATAATTACACCTTTGAACCACGAAGACCTCACAAAACCCAGTTTATTGATATTAATATCATAATGTCCTGAGTTAATATAGTAACCTGTGAACAGACACTGTTGAGGTCGTCGATCGTTTATACCTAGTATTCAAACTAAAAGTAGATGACCCTGATATTGTCTCTTTTCTTCATCGTAGTATATAAATTTATACGACTATGTTTATCTATGGGAGACCACCTAGTACTACTAGACAGTTTTTCATGCCAACATCTATCCCTTGAGCAACCTACATGATACAAACCCCAATATAGTGGTGGAATCGTGTCTAGTCAACCCGACAGATCTATCCAATAGTCGATAGTAGTCAGTAGGCTGTTCGTCATACTGGATAATCCATCATTGATAAGGAGCCAATCTCCGAAGGCGGTAGGCCAACATCCTCGGCAGAATCGCGGGGAGAGGCCGTCCGCTCGGCATAATCCATGGCTCTCTCCCACTGTTTCCATCCTTTAAACACTATCCTTTGTGTACGGTGTCTCATCTAACCCAAGGGAGATAACTTCAAAATGGCTACACGCGCCCCCTTTATTGTTCCGGCTCTGAAGAAGCACACCGCGACGGTGATCATGGCCCACGGCTTGGGCGACAGGTTGGTCTCCAGCATACCGCGGTCTAAAATATTTACAACTGGCTAACGTTATCCTGTAAACAGTGGTGCTGGATGGTACGTATACCGAAACTATCATATCCTATGGCCGGCGACGACGACGGTTCCTACCGAAACCTGAAATAACTGACGACAATAGGATGGCTCTCGCCCAGAACTGGCGTCGCCGCGGCATGTTCGACGAAGTGGCCTTCATCTTCCCGAATGCCCCTATGATCCCTATCACAGTGGTATGCAATGACCGTCACTTACGGAGCTCTGGGAGATTGGGACTAAATTGACGGGTATAGAACTTCGGAATGTCCATGCCGGGATGGTACGACATCTCCAAGCTGGGTCGTGACGTGAGTGGTGCAGCTAGATCTATATTCCGGGGTAAGAGGACTAACGGCTGTATAGTTGGATTTCGAAGAAGCCATCCGCCACCAAGACGAGCCGGGTGTCCTCCGTTCCCGCGAGTACTTCAACACTCTCATCAAGGAGCAGATCGACCAAGGTATCAAGCCCTCCCGGATTGTCCTCGGAGGCTTCTCGCAAGGTGGAGCGATGTCCTTGTTTGCGGGTCTCACGAGCACGGAGAAGCTGGGTGGTGTCTTCGGTCTTTCTTGCTACCTGTTGCTTCATGACCGCATTAAGAACTTCATCCCCGGGGACTGGCCGAACAAGCAGACGCCCTTCTTCATTGCACACGGTGAGGAGGACGAGGTGGTGAAGTTCGATTTCGGTAAGCAGTCGGCGAAGATGGTTCAGGAGTTGGGTGTCGAGGATGTCGAGTTCCATTCTTACTCGTGAGTGTTCCGTCCACTTTTGCTTTCCCCTGAATTGGCTTACTTATCTGTGGGTAGTGATCTCGGCCACTCTGCCGATCCCGAGGAGATCGAGGATTTGACGAAGTTCCTTCAGAAGGCTATTCCTCCGGAGGAGGGTCAGTCGGCCGCCGGCTTATGACTTGGTGACCACAGCTCTGTTCCTGCTGCACCCTCTATAGGTGCTAGAATCATATACAGCATTTTCCTAGGCATCGTTGTATGGAGAATTGCGGTTATGCTGTTGGGGATCATCTCGGGAAAGAAAGGGGATGCGCCGATAAAGCAGGATTGAACATACAATTGCTTGAATAAATAATAGATCAAGATGCATGAAATGACGAAATCTAGTAACAATCTATTCATCGCTCGTAATCGAATATACAACCCCCATCTATTCTCCCCTCAAAGCCTTCTGAACCGCAGCCTCAATAACAGCAACCATGGCCTCGGTGTTCTTCACATCAAACGGCACCATATGCTTCGACCCGTGATCATGGAAACTCATCTTGCTCGGATCACACAGCCTGGACAAACGCATACTAGACGGATATAGCTCATCCTGCTTTCCCACAATATTTGCCGTGGGGATATTGACCGGATACTCGTCCCCAGCTGAAGGCTCAGGAATGATCTCGTTGCCAGTGCTATCGAACGGTACGGCACCGCAGATAAATACGGCGACCTTGAACAGAGGCTCCTGATGCGTCTTTGCATGATGTGCGATCATGGCGCATGCCAGTGCAGCACCTTGCGAGAATCCCATAACGGCGTCAAAGGGTCCCTCACGCTCGATGATATCGTAGACGTGCTTCATGGCGGGGGCGAGATATTCGCCCGGTGCCCGGTCACGCGGATAGTGGTTGTAGAAGGGGCCAGTAAAGAGGCCTTTCAGCTCTATTCAATATGTTAGCCATCACATGCCTCCGAATCTTCTGGTGTGAAGGGTGGGGGTGATGTACGAGGCTCAACTTCAGCTTCCATGCAGCCATTGTAGTATTTGAACGTATGGCCATATTTTGCGAGGTCGTATGTGATTCCACCTGGTTGCGGTACAAGTCAGATTGACAATCTTGGCCTGGCGGATTGGACTGTTGTTCAATTACCGGATTGGATCTCGAAGATCTAATGTTTGTTCAACGGTTAGATTTGGATGGCGGGGAAGCGGAGATAAGCCAAAGGAGAGCCCGCCAGCAGGGTAGATGCTTGCTTACTTCTGCGTTGGTACCTGCGCCGTGGAGACAAAGGAATCGCATTTTGGATGGTTGATTAGTGAAGGTGTTCTTTCTGTGTCACTTCCTCTTTGAAAGGATATGATCCTGGGAGACAATGGCTGACCAGGGAAGATGATGAGGAAATGTGTTGAATACTAAACTAGACTACGCCCCTCCGACCGTCAGCTGAAGCATTGGCCTGCCACTAACGTAAGACTCAAAACTCTCAGCCTTCTCCATCTACTCCATTCCTCATCTGTCTTTACATTTCTTCAGTCGTCGTCCTGTCCGGCCCAGACTATGCATCCTTCTCGGCTATTTACAGGACCATTTCTTGTCCTACCCCCCTACATGCAACATGTGAGATGTCACGATTCACGGAGTTTCCATTCAACGAAATGATCTCCGGCACCGAGGGCGGCGCCCGTGCCCCCTTCGAGACCGGTCTTCCTATCTTCTCCCCACTGCGACTTTAGTGGTTCTGCGCATCTGCAGTCTACGTGGACTTGATCGCACTTACTGCTATTCATATTCAATGGCATCTATTGTCAATTTCATCTCGAATGTGCTCCTCCGCCCTGTGGAGTCCTACTGCAGCTTCGGTCCGACGGTGAGTGAAATCACCTTTGGACAGCTGGGGTACTCCTTCAATCCCGAACGCGACATCAATGATCTGTCAGGGAAGGTTGTCTTCGTCACTGGAGGTATGTCATCTATATACCTTGGGCTGTCTATTTCAGTGCGCTAACTTTCCCCGCTTGTTTCGTAGGAAATGCTGGTCTAGGGAAAGAAACCATCCTCCAACTCGCCCATCACCGCCCATCTCGCATCTACCTTGGTGCACGGAATGCGATCAAAGCCGAAGAAGCCATCGCTTCAATCCGGGAGCAGGTCCCATCCGCCGATATCAGACATATATCCCTCGACTTGTCCTCATTCAAGTCGATCCGTGCCGCTGCCGAGCAGTTCACGTCAGAATGCGATCGCCTGGACCTCTTGATCCTTAACGCGGGAATCATGAACTGCCCGCCTGCCCTGACAGAGGAAGGATTCGAGATTCAATTTGGGACGAATCATATCGGGCATTTCCTACTTACTCAGCTACTACTGCCCACACTGCAACGAACGGTTGATCTTTCCAGGGATGTCCGTGTAGTAACGTTGTCCTCTGCCGCGAATGTCGCTGCGCCTCCCTTCGAAGTCATGACTTCTACGCCGGCTTTACTAGCAGATCACACTTTGGCCCGATACTGTTCATCAAAGGCAGCGAATATCCTTTTTGCGTCGGAGCTGGCTCGTCGCCATCCGGAGATTCTGTCTGTCGCGGTACATCCCGGCTCCGTCGTGAGCGACCTATGGGATCATTCGATCAAGACGAGTGTCGTCGCCAAATACAGTATCGGCGCTCTCCTGGCGTTCAGTCGGAGCATACGGAGCGGAGCACTCAACCAACTCTGGGCCGCAGGGGCGAGAAGAGAATTGCTGACCAACGGAGCTTATTATGTTCCCATTGGGGTGCACGCTACGGGCAACCGGTACGCAAGGGACGCCGATATGGCGCGGCGACTGTGGGAGTGGACTGAGCAGCAGATTGCGGACAAATCGTAACCTTATCCGGTTCCAATGATGTTTTGGTCATCCCCCACCTCAGGCCCTGTATCTAGAGATCGACGAATTAGCCCAGGATATGCATGGCCATGCCTCGGAAACAACACTGTGACTGTCATAATATAGCAAATAATCGATATTCTATGGAATAACATGATGCGATACTGGACGTTGCTTCAGGGTCCGGATCGCGGGGTTGATGACGGGTAAACTCGTAGATTACCGGATTCGGTATGAGATGCCGGAAAGCGGGTGGTGAGCGTCAATCCCGGCGAGACTCATTGGCGGCCACAAACTGTCCCAAGGTGCCAAACAACCTCTCAAGAAAAAGGGACCAACCTACTCCCCATAGAAAAAATATTCCTAGTTCAACGTCCCAGCCACTTTCACTATCCCTCTATGACATTTTGAAAGTTGCCGATCTCCCTCCATGGACGCCAGTCTAGAAAGTCAGCAGCGGCAGCGATCGTTAGGGTTTAGCCGAGGAGCCTCCCTGTCCAGATTCCTCGTTTCGCCCACAACCAACTTCACCCAGCAGGTCCACGAAGCGCCTTTCCAATGAAAATTGTAATCCCATAGCCAGAAAGCACATATTATAACCATAGTATATAGAGCAATAATCTAATTACTACTGAGCGAGCTACACTGTGTAGAAAATAATATTAATGTTGTAGAAGTACTGAGAACGCAAAGTCGGCTTTGCATGCTCTGCTCCCCACACAAACCCGTCCGAAGCGCATCATCGAACTTGACTATCCTCATCCTCATCCTCCCACTTCACCTCCCTCCTCTTTCTCTCTCCAGCACCAAATCTCTCCCCCATCATCTCCTTTAGGTACGTATTATACCCCGTTATTCCTACCTCTAGAACCCGTTTTCCCTTGGAACATTTCGGAATCTTTTTATCTGTCGCCCATCGACGAGTCATCCGCGAAACTCTCTCCCGAATTTATTCGTTCCAATTTCAATTCGATCCGGTCGCGCGAATTCGACGCTCAACGCTCCGCTTCCTCCGTTTACGCGAGAATGACACAGCACAATTTCCACAATACACTCAAAATTTTACGAGGACAGACATCTGACCGTCTTTGGATTTTTTTCACAGGTTGAAAGCACTCAAGCTTCAATACTCCCGTCAAAATGGATCAGGCAAAGTTGGCTAGAATGCAGCAGAGCGTGCGGATTGGTATGTACCTCCATATTCTTTTCGTCTTTTCTTGTTAAGCTCTCTTGTGTTATTGCTATTGCTCCGTTCGCATCCGATTTATAATCAATACCCATGGGAGCGAGGTTAGTGGGGGTGAGCGAGGGAAGCTATCCGGTGGTATTATGGGATCGATCTCGATCCGATTCTGCAAGGAACAAAAGAGGAGGAGGAGCAAATGGGCTTGGTTTGGAAGATCAAGGCCATGTCGGATTGCTTTATATTGTTGCGTTGCGTGTTATTGTTGTTTTTAAACGAAGTTATGACGAACAGCTAAAGCTAACATATCTTTCTTAACCTCACAGGGTACGTATAATGACACATTCGCATCCCACGAGACACAAACCGAGATCAGAACCTATGAATCGAAACTAACAACTCAACAGAGGCAAGGGTACTCCCCGCCGCAAGGTCAAGAAGGTCCACAAGTCCTCCGGTGCCGACGACAAGAAGCTCCAGGCCACCCTGAAGAAGATGAACGTCCAGCCCATCCAGGCCATCGAGGAGGTTAACATGTTCAAGGAGGACGGAAACGTCATCCACTTTGGTGCTCCTAAGGGTATATAGTCCCCACACCTTTACCCAACATCTCACATAAGGCATTCCCCAGACCACTGACATGATTTTGGTTGGTATAGTCCACGCCTCCGTCCCCTCCAACACCTTCGCCCTCTACGGCAACGGCGAGGAGAAGGAGCTCACCGAGCTCGTCCCCGGTATCCTGAACCAGCTTGGCCCCGACAGCCTTGCTTCCCTCCGCAAGCTCGCCGAGAGCTACCAGAACATGCAGAAGAACCAGGCCGGCGCTGACGGCAAGAAGGACGATGAGGAGGATGATATCCCCGATCTCGTCGAGGGCGAGAACTTCGAGAGCAACGTTGAGTAAATTTAAAAAATACCTTTACCAGCTTGAATTATTTGAGGAATTGATATCATCTTCGTTGCCTTGCCAACTTTCAAATATATGTGTTGATGAATTGAGTGTGTGTGTCTGTGGGAATATTGTATTACCCAGTTCTCTGAAATGGATGATTCCAATCATTAAAAAGAAGGAAAATGAGGCTTGTGTGTGCTGCTCTTTTTGCCTTGTGGGTGTGCGCGCTGAGCGGATTCGTTCTCTTTTTCCTGCATATGATATTATGCTTGGAGCTTGGAGCTGGAGCTGGAGCTTGAGTTCACGATTGTTGGTTGGGAAGAAGTCAGCTTTTCTTATAATGGAAAGGATCATACTATTTTCATCTTCACTCGGACTTTTGGGGTAAAGGTGAGGGAGGGTGAGAGGTGTTTTGAGGGGGGATGTAAATTTTAAGCCATTGGGTCTGTCTGGATCACTGTCATCGGGGATACGGATGACTTGCCTGGTCATGAAAATCGGGGAGTTGTAATGCGGAGAAAAGCCATGACATATTAGTAATGACTGAGCATTGTATCAGTCGTTGTAATGGCTCATTATCTCGAAATCTATCTAGAAAGACATGCGTATACGACTAATGACGCACGTAAATGCAGTATACTGATAATAAAAGCTTCTATGATGAATGTGGTAATGATATCAAACACAATCGCTTTTCATATGGTGAACGAACCTCGCTGAACAAACAAATCAATGGGTATTGGTATACATGAAGCATCATAAGATAAAAGCCAATATCAGTCACAGACAAGCAACAGAGCAAAGCATCATCTACTCTCCACCTGATTCATCGAGGACTTCTTAGGAACAAACGGCGCCGTAGTCGGCTTCGACTTCCTCCTCTCATCCTTAACACGCAGCCCTCGGCTCAAGCCACCTCCGAGACCCCGTGCAAGCGATGCAAAGGGTGACGCAGCTTGCCAGTTATCCAGATCCTCTTCGTGCTGACCAACACTAGCCACGACTTCACTGCCGTGTTTCGAGGACCCGGATCCGTCGGAAGGTTTGGCGCGGTGTCGGTGGAGAGAGATCTCGCTGCCGTGGGTGCTCGGGGACGTCGGATTAAGTCTCCACGGGTTTGTGGGGATGTCAGGGTCAATGTAGTCGGCGCATTTGCAGCCACAGCCGCTCGGGCAGAAGTGGTACTCTTCCTGTTCGGGGTCGGGTGTGTTCGATGATGCCATGGAGAACCAGCCTCGATGGCAGTCGAAGCAGCTTACGTGACCGCAGCCGAGGCAGGGGATGAGCATGCCTTCGACGACTTCGCTGCAGATGACGCAGGGGAGTCTGAGAGGGAGAGGCTGTTTTGGTTTGCAGTGAGGGCAGGTGAGGGGAGGTGGTGTTATGCCCTTTAAGTGGCCCTTGGGTATTGCTTCGGTGAGTGCCTTGGTCGCGAAGATGGAGTGCTGCAGGGCTTGGCCACAGCTGATGCAGTGGCGTTGGATCTCTAGACCCTGGTTTTCAGTATCAGTGGGCGCAGCCGTCGAGCTTCTGCGCTTGGAGGTGGGAAGAGAGAATGAATCGTGGTGGCTTCTGTGGCGACGGTGTGTCGGCTCCTTGGTGGGATTGGGGGTGCCGCCGATCTTCAATACTTCACTGCGTTGAACTGGCAGTCCCCATATAGATAGCAGATGAGCGTATGCTGCGCGATAAGACCGATACAGCCACTCTTTCTTGGGATCGAGGAAAGTATTCTGCGACTGTCCATTGCCCTCGAAAGCAGCTTGGTTCTTCAAGACTGCGCGAACCTTTGTCGACGGTTTGGCTGGAGCAGGTCTCTCGCTCTCCGTGTCAGAATGAGTTTGTGACGTGAGCGCGGTGGAGGTAGTCAAATAGTCGGGAATGGCTGAAACTGGTTTCGCAGTAAAGGCACTCGTCACCCACACCCCTGGCCCTCCGACTGTATTGGGACTGCCATTAGGATTGAAAACCTTCCGTGACAATGCAGTTGCTGGAGTAGATGCTGACGAAGGACCAAATGTAAGAGAGCGGGAAAGAGACGAGGCGAGAACGGAGCCAATCCCGGAGCCACTGCGTGGTTGTGATTGCTGGTCAGGCGAAGCAGCGATTGCTATGTTCTGGGTCCATGTCTTGCGGTCTGCTGCTAGGGGGCCCGCTCGGCTGGCCAGAGGAGGAGTTGTGCCGGTGGAATATGGCGGCGTGGAATCGGGACGCCAAATTTCAGACGAAGAACGCCCCGAACTATGTGTGATAGGCGTTGCGTGACTGTCCTTCGGTGTAGTGGCAAGCGGCACGGCCGTCTGCGGTTTAGTCTGCACAGCCGAGTTGGGGGAATACAGATCAAAAGAAAATGCATGCTCTTCCATCCGCCTGGACACGGCCCGACTGACATGAGCGTGTTCTTTGGAAGCCTCGTCAATGTTTGCTTCGTGCAAAACACAAGATAGCATAGCGATCATTTGCACGTCACCGATTTGTTCGAAATGTTCGAAGAGAGCAGGAATCAGCCACTGACCACCGAATGGGTGGTCGCCCCAATGTATGACGGAATTTAGAAACCCTTTGTGGCGTTGGTCCTGACTTCCCATATCGTTACTCAGATCCACGGCGCTATCCTTCCTTTGTATGTACGGTCTATCCAGGGTGTCAAAACCGGACGAAAACATTGAGCTTTTGCAGTTGTGCAAAATAAGCCTGACAAGTCCCCAGATTCGAGCCAGCTCGTAATAACCGTGGTCGAGGGCTACAGCTGAATTATGCGCACAAACGTCCGTGACTTTGCCGCAAATACGATATTTGCTAGCCAGTTCCCGCTTGGCTGGTAGCAAATCACTGAAGTCGTGGATGGAGATGACATTTTGCGAGCCTTCAGATGATTTCGATGTCATCGCACCAACGGTCGACCTTTGGGAATTGTCTGTAGAGCGCGGACGATAAAGTCCAAGACTGCCACCACTTCGCCATGTCTGAGGTGTTGGAAACCGGTGCTGGAGCCCTGACAGAATACCAGAAGACCCGGAAGAGCTTGACGATTCGGCGTCTGAATCGTCTGAATATTCAGAAGCCCCATCGTCAGTGCTGGCCATTGTGACAGATGTCCGAGGTCCAGGAGAATTGGTCTGCAGACGACCAAAGCCTTCGAAGACCTTGTCCGCTCTAGATAACCTGGTCATTTCCTTGAATCCTAGGTTTTCTAGCCAATTGGACTTGTCCTTCTTGAAGGGGAAGAAGCACACCAAGCGACCGTCGTTGGCCCACAGTGCACCGCATCCCTTGGCTACAGGGACCATGACATTGGCATTGACCGGTCGAAGCAGTTCAGAACTCATGCCTAGATCTTGGCTTTGAGACAATCCAACTTCATCTTCATCGCTGGACTCCTCACCCCCTAGTTGGCCGTTGATGGGAGACTTGACAGTGTCTGCCGTTTCCCCAAGAATCCAAGCGATGCTTTCTTCCAGGGTGCTCTCGCCCAAGAGGTAGCGAACGACACCTTCGAGACATCCTCTTTTGTGAGCAAGGAACGTCTCTGCAATCGTGCGAACTTCAGCTATTAACTTATCGGCAAGCTGATCGGTGACAGCGGCAGTCTTCTGCACGCTGAACGTTGGCATGGCATCTCGAGGGTAATCAACAGGGAACTTGATATCGACTTTCATGAAAATAGAGTCACCATCGTCACCCCATGGTCCATGAAGGGATATTGTTGCCTTTCGTTGTCTGACATCGACCGATTCAAAAGCAACCTTGGTGAACTTTTCTCCGACGTGGGTAATTTCGTCGCCCAATGTCTCGATATCCCAACCGGATATTTTCACGCCACGCATCCAGGAAATAGGATTAGTATCCGTGCGAACGTTTGTCCGACCCTGCATTCCAATTCTAGACTCAGCGTTTCCTCCGCTCTGCGTCCACGCGCGAGCGTATGGAACCGAAATAGTATTCATGCCCAGATTACGAGACGTCTGGGGCGTAGAGCTCTGTCGAGTAGTGGGTGACAACGAGTCCATATCTTCTTCCTCTTCGTCAATAGGCGTATCTCGATATGACCTATACAGTGCGCCCTTGCGCGTAAGGCTCATATTGGAGACGTAAGTCTTCCCTTTCTCAAAGCCAACCCTTTGCATGATATCTGGATCGACTCTGTGTAGGCGGAGTTCACGATCCGTGCCCCAAGACACCAGCTGAAACTCTCTATTATCGATACCATCCTCTATTTCTCCGCGTGCTCTCCAGAGAAACTCTTTCACCTGGCCTTTGTGTCCTAGAAAGCTGTGTACCAGAGGAAGTTCATCATTGGAAGTAGAGCCCTCCCCGGCCCTCCGACTATATAAGTGGAGATCACTGTTTCCTCTTTGTGGCATGGCCAAGACACCCCATCCAAAAGGGGTATTTCTTGCTCGCCATACTGGAAACGGCGTCTTGATCACCTTCTCCGGTACCTCTGTGTCCACCGTGTAGTCCCAGAATTTGATCGTCTTGTCTAGAGAGCACGTTACGAGGGCCCCGGGCCGTACTCTGTTCCAATCCAGCCCATAGATCTTCGTGCTGTGTGCCTCAATAGACTTGATCGGATACGCGCCCATCCGCTTGTCCCATATTCGCAAGAATTTGTCGTGAGAACTGGCAATAACGTTGGGGTCCTGTCGGTTCCATTTAACCTGAGTTGCTCCAGCAAGCCAGTCAGAGAACGAGATGGCGGGACGGGAGGGTGTCCGCAGATCCCAGCAGTGGACAAAGCTATCAACGGCACAGGTCGCGAGCATATCTGCATGATGCGCGGAGAAGTTGATGTCTGTTATAGCTCGAGTGTGGGCGTGCAGAACGTGCTCAATCGAGCTTGGCGAGGATTTCATGCCCAGGTTCCATACCAACGCCTTCTGATTCGACGTGCTAACGACCCAATAGTCTCGGGCAGCAAACGGAGACCATTGAACGTCTGCAACCTCCCATGGTGTGTGGTGCGGTAGATACCTTGGCGGCGAGTATGGCGAATCCAGATCGATGATGTGAAGACCTTCCTTGGAGGCTAGAACCACATCCCGGCCACAGGGCGAGATCGACATAGACCCTACAGGCTGCTCCACATGGAATGAGCTATCCTCCCCAAATGTTGGACTCTCGAAGGCCGACGTGAGAGGCCTGGGCTCGCTTTGATCCACCATGATGGCGTCGCCGGCTCCGGGCCTGAAAAGCTCCTTGTTTCGGTGCTACCTGTCGGCTGCTATGCACGCCTTGGAGAAACGTTCGAACGGACTCAGAGAAACAGGAAGCACATTGGTGGAAGAATTGTTTGCGGCCATACACGGTGCTATCATATCGACCGCGTTTGTCATGGACTTTTCATCAATTGAGTAGGAGGAACGGGTCTGTGGAATTGGCTGTGCGCATTGTGGAGGTCGTTACGGGGGGGCGGTCGAACTTGGAATTCCAGAGGCGCATGTACCGTATCTTCGATAGACCAATGATGAAGGGCTATTAAAAGATTAAATAATAAGAAGAGCAGGAGAAGGAGTCACTATGTCAATTGGAATCTTGCCTGGGGAAGAGTAGATATCCGAACCAAAGGCTTTAGACAGCAGCAGTGGACTCCGCAAAGTCCGGGGTTGGCGAGTTGCTTTCCGGCCGCAGTCTCCGATTCTGCACACTTGGTCCCTCCGGCATCCAGTGTCCATTACGGCAGGCGGTGTTTCCGACCAGCGCAGCCCCTCTGTCGGTTACGTCGTTCCATATCGATTCCAGCCATAGGAACATCCCAGGTGGCTGTTGCTTTTAATCCCCGCGACCATCTGCTAGAGGCTGCTGTCGAGTTTTGCCTGTTCCAAAGCTACGTGGGAGAGGTATCCGCCGCTTTCCGACTGCCAGAAATCTGCAGGAGAGCTGTAAGCCCCACCTCGATCATAACCGTGAAATCGCGGGGTTGGACAGAACATTAAACCTTTCTATTTCACAGACTCAAGATGGCGTTGCCAAAGAGAATTATAAAGGAGACTGAGCGTCTCATGGCTGAGCCGTGAGTAGTTCTGCTCTACACAATAATCCTATCAAGATAGAGATTGTTGACGCATGTCCGCAGAGTTCCTGGCATCAACGCCGTACCTCACGAAGATAACTTGCGTTACTTCGATGTCTCCATTCACGGACCGGCACAGTCTCCGTACGAAGGTAAAAAGGGAGCATACACAGGCTGTTTGTATGGCTGTTGACTTCTTTCAAGGTGGCATTTTCCGCCTCGAGCTGTTTTTGCCAGAGGACTACCCGATGACTCCGCCCAAGATTCGCTTTTTGACTAAGATCTATCATCCCAACATCGACCGCCTGGGGCGGATTTGTTTGGACGTCTTGAAGAGTATGCGCTACTACTGATCTACTTGGGAAAGAAGATACAAGAATCTGGGCTAACGTGTGACTAGATAACTGGTCTCCCGCTTTGCAAATTCGCACGATCCTTCTCTCTATTCAGGCTCTGCTGGGAGCTCCCAACCCGGATGACCCCCTTGCAAATGATGTTGCTCAACGCTGGAAGGAGGATGAGCCAGCAGCGATACAGACTGCCAAGGAGTGGACTAGAACCCATGCGATGACTTAGATAAGAAAGGCGGAAAGGGCTCCACCCGCTAAACAAACTGTAAGAGCAGCAATGTTGTGATGTGACCATGAGCAAAAGTACTGCGACATTCTGCCTTCCTGGCATTATTTTAGGATAGGCCTCGATTCTTCGGGACCTTCCCTTCCATACAATGAGAAGGCATCCCTAACCATCAACCCTGGTTCGTTTCCCCGCGAGTGCTCATGTATGGTGATAGAGCTGTGGCTCATTCAGATATGTGGTATAGGCATTTGCTTTCTTTCATCCGGCTGCGATCTGCTTTTCGATTTCGATGTTAGAGATTCATTCCATAGAATTGCAATATACCTGTAGCAGATCGTCGACTTTGGCTTTGTTCTTATTGGCCCAACTGTCCTGGTGAAATAATCAGCCTCTGGCTTGTAGTTCACAGTGATTCATGACTATCTATTAAATACAATGGTCTACCCAGGAGCATGCTATTACTAAAATCAACTCTGATTCCTTGTCTGTGAAGGCTTCTTTTCTAAACGTGAATAGTATAGTCCTGGAGCAAATCAGCTAGGAGATTCATTACACTGTACCAATGTGAATAATTTCAGAAATTCACTCATCTTAACACGTATTTTATAGTTTGGCCTCCCTCCCATACGCTCCCTCGTTCGATTATATTCAGTACCAGGAAAATACCGATATTCTGCCTGCCTGCTTGCCTGCCTGCGCTGTTCTTCACCATCAAGCGATAGAAGATAGTTATCTAACCAAGCACTTCAAGCAGACTACTCACAGTGACTATTAACAACAGCACGATGAATAACGAGGATAATATGGACAACTCTGGAGAAGCAACGTATGTTTTCTCTTCTAATTGCCTATCACCAGCAAGAATTGGAGAAAGAGAAGCCACACTAGTTATCTTGATATATCTGACATCCACGGTTCTAGAGACCAGCCTCACGCTTTCCAAGTAGAAAGCGAGGAACCGGTTTCTTCTAATCTCACTCAACTCACCGACGACATTACCAACCAACTCGCCCGAGCATTTCACATCACTGACCATCATGATGACCCGCTTTTCTTGCCAGCTTTGTTTACAAATCCTGTGAATACAACGACAACAGAGCAGCATATAAGAGAAGAACCAGATGGAATGTCCCTAGACTCTTCTCCCCAGATTCTACACTCGGTGTCTGGAACTAGCGCACTTCTCAACACACAACAATCCCCTTCAACCACTGCTGCTTCTCACGAAGTTAATAATACAACTGCAGCAGCTCGCAGCCTCGCCGGCATTCTGAAGAAGAACAAAGGCGGGAAGACAGGAAAGAAAGTCAAGTTCGCAGCCCCGCCAGGGAAGGTAGTAAAGTGCTACAAATCTTCTCAGGGTAAGTGTTTTACTCCGGGCACGTGTGTCTACCATAGTGACAGCTGATCCAGAGCATAAGAAGAGGGACTAAGCAATGGCTTCCTGGCTCCGTCCACTTAAGTCCATCCTTCAGATCGTCTCGTCCAAGGACAGACAGACTGCCAAGCTAGATAAGAAGAAAGTTATTGTTGTCATGCCAGGACATCAGCTTTTGGATGGGGGGGATGACAAGGATAAGGACAAGGATGAAGAAGGAGCGGGCACGGACTATCACAATAGCTTTCCAGTTGTGGGCGCGAGCTCGATCGACGACCTGGTAACTAACTATCCAAACCCCACAACGATTGGCATGTGCCTGCTAACTGGATGACAGGTTGAATACATTCGCCAGGCCACCGCTTGTCCTAAGCAAACGCGCAACCTCAAGGATTATTGGAAACACCAGAGAGGTGGTGACGTTAGGATTTGGGGGTATAGAAACCCATGGTGCACAAAATGCTACGGGGAATGCCCCATCTGCGGTACCGCCTGTTGCGTATACGAGGAACTGAAACGTGCAGTCTCAGATGAGGCATCAGATCCTCTTGTGTCACGAGACCGGAGACGGATAATGGACCTAATGGGGTCGGTGGGAGCCTACATCAAAGACGCGAGCACGTTCTCCTTGTGTTCAACGCCAGGTTGCGGAAAGCATGTCTGCCCATCCTGTTGCGGAATATGCCCGGACAAGCGTTGCCGAGATGTACAGTGCAAGGTGAGCAGCGAATCTGACTCCCATCTTTTCAAGTAATGCATGATCCCGTGTTAACAGCGATGCTGCTTAGGAGTGCAAGGCAGATCCCTGGGCCGTATGCGACTGGCACGAGTAGTCAGCGGTGCGCCACGTTATGAAGCACGACAATATCATGACGAAGTTACGATAATTATGCCGATGACATTCGTTGTTAAGCGATCCCTGAGAAATCTCCGGATTCATTGGCCATTGAAGGGTGGTATGGAGGAGTCTTCGGTAGAAGATGGCAGTTTCGATGGTATTAAGTCATTATCCGTATGGATAATGAGCGAGCATTGAGGCCAATTTATGTATTGTAAAGACATCAACCCAAATATGCGACCATAATGCCAGTTAATCCCTCAAATTGATTGATTAAATAACTTGTCAAACTCCTATATAATACATATTGAAAACCAACTCATCAAGCGCATACATCCCGATCCCCAAGATCTGGAGAAGTAGAGGCGGAAGCCAACCAGCCAAGGGCAGGGGCGGTCACGTGTCACCGCTTAGCGAGGCTCCGCACCGCACCACAATTGTGTCAGTCTCACGAACAGCTCGCCGCAGAGACCGCTTCGACTCAACCACCCAACGCCAACCGACAACATCTCGTCTCGACCGGCTGCGCATCTCAGACGTTCAAGATGCGTACCTACGACGATTCTTTCAGCGGTCAGAAGATCTACCCTGGAAAGGTGCGTTTTTATGTCCCTTTTCCGCCAGCCAAACAGCAAACGAACGGCCTCGAAATTCGCCACGAAAACCTACATCTACACCAGACCCTTCACCAATGCATGCAAAAAAGGATATATCAGTTGACGGTTTCTTTTGAAAAATTATAGGGTAAGCTGTACGTCCGTGGCGACAGCAAGATCTTCCGCTTCCAGAATGGAAAGTCCGAGTCCCTCTTCCTCCAGCGCAAGAACCCCCGCCGCATCGCCTGGACTGTCCTCTACCGTCGCCAGCACAAGAAGGGCATCTCTGAAGTCAGTACCCGCTATTTATCCCTTTGGATTGTTGAGTTTGTTGTTTCGTTGTTTTGTTGCACGGGTTGGAAGAGGAGGGAGTCCTGGGTTGTTCTACCATCGAATTACGACGCGAACATACATGAAGAATTCGTGATTGGATATGACGGTTGAATGCTTCGATGATATACTGGATGGATTAAATTACAACCCAGTGGTGGCAGTGGAGACTATGGCAACAACATTGAAGGAAGACAGGGGGGATACAAGTTTCCATGAAAGGAGACCGCATGCTGACCGGGACCCTTTTTCAAATTTACAGGAAGTTGCCAAGAAGCGCACCCGCCGTGTCGTGAAGAGCCAGCGTGCCATCGTTGGTGCCTCCCTCGACGTGATCAAGGAGCGCCGCGCCCAGCGCCCCGAGGCCCGTGCCGCCGCCCGCCAGCAGGCCATCAAGGACGCCAAGGAGAAGAAGGCCGCCAACGAGAGCCGCAAGCGTGCTGAGAAGGCCAAGGCCGCTGCCTCCGGTGCCAAGCCCGCTCAGCGCATCCAGAGCAAGCAGGGTGCTAAGGGCTCTGCCCCCAAGGTCGCTGCCAAGTCGCGTTAAAACGGATTAGAGGCGGTACTGGCTGTTGGGACTGGGATGAAAGTAAAAGGATAAGAAATGACAACACTATGGGGGGAATATGTTATGGACATAGGGAATTTGGGAGGTTATTCTAATAAAAAAGAAACCCCCGAGGAGCGTTTTTCTTTTGCCTCATCAAAGATTTCTATTCTCCAAAAACATCAAACGAATCTCCTTTTTTGCGGCGTATGAGCGTTGGGTAAGGGGATAAGATATCCTTTTTGCTCCTTCCTCGGATATGAATGAGCTTCTTATTCGTTATTACGCCGTTTCTTTCCCCCCTCCTGCTTCTCCCCCAAGTGGTATGTCTTACTTATTACTACCCAGGAATTGGAAATGGATGTGATATGATTACTTCATTCCTCCTATCTACTTTCGTACTAGTAGTATCATACCCTGTAAAAAGGCCCAAGCGCGCAACATACATGATCTTATCGCTCTCGCCCGATCCTTCAAGATCATCTTTCAAAGTAGACCAGAGACCCCCGGGCCTTGTCACGTGAATCACGATCGTAACTGTAAATCCATAGGGCTCAGACCTAGACTAACCGTTTCCGGTACCATTCTTCATAACCTTGATGGAATTTATGCCTCAGGCAGAAAGGCAGGAAGGGATAAAGTGTATGCATGGCATATGTACTTTTATGAGAATGGTGCCATGACAACTATCGATTCTGCATGACTTTGTTTACTTGTTTCGGGTACCTTCGTATACTTGACATGCATTGTGGTTATTGTGTAGCGTTTGCAACATGTAGCTATTTCTCATTCCCATGAAATCTAAGGGTTCATGCTATTCCTATGATGATTATACAGATCTCTCTAATGGAGACGATGAATGATGCCAGAAAATAACTAATTGATTACCTCCAGCCATCCTGCAAGTAGCTAATATATAGTATGAGTATAAATGAACATCCATGAAACAATCGAACAAGTCCCGACCCAACCCGTATCTAGACATCTATCTATGTAGTATACAACAACAACGCTTGAACATGATGACATTCAATAATCCCGAAACACAAACCACCTTCTCCCGCCTACTTTTCAATTAAAACCTAGTAGTAATGAGCCATCTCCAATCCAGCACGCTTGAAGCCGCACTTGAGGTAGAATCCCTCATTCGCCTCGGAGCAATCGAGAATACTCTGCATTCACCATTAGCATCGTGACCACCACCACTCTCATAATAAAGAAGTAGAAGGAAGACATACCTTGTAGCACCCCACCTGCGCCGCAACATAATCCAACGCCTGAATAAGCCTCAGCCCGAGCCTCTTCCCCTGCTGGCCCTTCTCGACGGCAATATCCTCAATATGGCCCACAAGACCCAACTCATGAATGAACTTGCGCTCAACAATCAAGCTGCCCGTGCCTACGACACGATCATCCCCATCACAGATAACAAGCAGGTAGTACTCGTCATTGCGCGACGAGATCCAGTCGTAGCGCTTGTTCCACTGCTCCTCGGTGATGGTGCCGACGGTCGTCAGCACGCGCAACACGTCCAGGTAGCCGCGGCTGTAGTCGGAGCGACGGACGGGACGGATCTTGTAGCCTTCGGGCAGTTCGGCGGCGACGGAGGGGGAGATGAGGGTCGTAGGGAAGAGGGGGGCGTCGTCCTTGGATTCGGCGGGGGGTTGGGTGAGGGTGGAGGCGTTGGTCATGTTGGCGGTGGTATGTTTTTTATCCGTCTTGAACTTTCTGCTGAAGAGGAAGAAAAGGCTTTGCGGAGTTTCGTGAAGAGGTTGTTTGGTAGTTTAGTTAAGGGAGGAAGGGCCCCTGGTTAGTGGCGGGGTTCAATTGAGTGGTGAAAACGGATGGGAATTATTGAAACGCTGGAATGAAGGATTTCTTCAGTGATAGTGAGTGTTTGAACGAAAGACAGAGTATTTCCAACGAAGGTGAGTATTTGAGGGGGAAAGGGATGAAGGGAAAAAAAGGACAGGTCAATCGAGTCAGTCGGTCAGTCGGTGATGGAAAAGAAAGGGCCAGGCGGAGGTAATAAACAAGCAGTAAGAGAAGGGCCCACGGTTTGCCTGAAACACCAAACACTTTGGAAATCCGCCCCTGACTACTTACTACCACTACATACGGTTCTTTCCGACTGGCACTGGTCAAGCCGATCACCCTCCAAGCCTGACTGGCGCAGCAACTTTCCTACATATTTAGTATGCTAAATTAAACACCAGTTGACCGGCCCTCAGCAACCCACCGCCAGTCGTTGCTATCCGTGCATCTTGAACTATTCGATCGGTGGGCGGGACCGCTTCGGTGGTCCAAAAATAGCACACCCCGGGGTCAGCCCCGTCATCAGCCCGAGAAAATTCTATACTCCGTACAGTGAAGAACAGTATCGAAGCAATAAGCTGAACAATAAGAATAGTACAGTAGTATTCCTGAGTATACAGATATCTCCTAGGCAAAAGCTAGTCTTCGCTAGATGACTCCTCCAAGCTAAGCCAAAACATCTCTCCTCCCGCTATACATCTATTTCTTCTCCTTGGGGCTCAGCATCAGCTCCGGACGGACGTACTTGTCAAAGTCCTCCTCGCTCAGAGCCTTCAGCTCCATAGCACTCTGCTTCAGAGTGAGGCCCTTCTTGTGGGCGTTCTTGGCGACCTTGGAGGCCATGTCGTAGCCAATGACGGGGTTCAGGCAGGTGACCAACATCAGACTACACCACCGTTAGTTGTATTCTTTACAAAAAAGGTCCCATTTTTTGGTGAAATACATACCTCTCGTGGAGGAGAGAGTTGATGCGGGGCTCGTTGGCCTCCAGACCGTGCACCAGGTTCTTCTCGAAGCTGGCCATGCCATCGGCCAGGATGCGCACGCTGTGCAGCAGGTTGCGGATCATGAGGGGCTTGAACACGTTGAGCTCGAACTGACCGTTCATGCCGCCGACGGTGGCAGCGACGTGGTTACCCATGACCTGGGAGCAGACCATGGTAAGGGACTCGCACTGAGTGGGGTTAACCTTGCCGGGCATGATGGAAGAGCCGGGCTCGTTCTCGGGGAGGACCAGTTCACCAAGACCGCAGCGGGGACCGGATCCAAGGTAACGGATGTCCTGGGCAATCTTGAACAGAGAGCAGGCCAGGGTGTTCAGGGCACCGGAAGCCTCGACAATCGAGTCGTGGGCGGCCAGAACCTCGAACTTGTTGGGGGCAGTCTTGAACTCGGTGCCGGTCAACTTGGTGACCTCAGCAGCGATAGCCTCGTCGAAACCCTTGAAGGTGTTCAGACCAGTACCGACGGCGGTACCACCCTGAGCCAGGTAGCGGAGGTGGGGGATGCTAGTCTCGACACGCTCAATGTTGCGGTCGAGCTGAGCGACGTAGCCGGAGAACTCCTGACCGAGGGTGAGAGGGGTGGCGTCCTGCAGGTGAGTACGACCGATCTTGATGATCTTGTCGAACTTCTCAACCTTGACCTGGAGAGCATCGCGCAGGCTCCTCAGGGAAGGCAGGAGGGTGTTCTCCAGCTCCAAAACGGCAGCAATGTGCATGGCGGTCGGGAAGGAGTCATTGGAGGAGGCGGACATGTTGACGTGGTCGTTGGGGTGGACGGGCTTCTTGGAGCCCTTCTCGCCGCCCAGGATCTCAATGGCGCGGTTGGAGATGACCTCGTTCGAGTTCATGTTGGACTGGGTACCGGAACCGGTCTGCCAGACGACGAGGGGGAAGTGGTCCATCAGCTTGCCCTCCGCAACCTCGGCGGCAGCCTGCTTGATGGCCTCGCCGATCTTGGGGTCTAATTTCCTGGTGTTAACTTCGCCGGAGCTGTGCTGCTTTAATCGATAGCGGCTTACCAAGGCCGAACTTCATGTTCACTTCAGCAGCAGCACCCTTGAGGATACCGAAAGCCTTGACAACGGGCTCAGGCATGCGGTCCTGGGGCTGGTTGATGTCGAAGTTGCCCAGGGAGCTATTGTCGCGCCAGTCAGCATCTGCTCACTTCGTGTATCGGTCGCATAGCCAGTTTGCAGTATGGCAGCGATTGTTGAAATCGGGGTCTTACCGCTGGGTCTGGGCACCCCAGTACTTGTCCGCGGGGACCTAGAAAAGAAAAGCAGTCAGCATTCGCATTCTATACGCATCGTGTGCATCAGTGTAGCACATACCTCGATCTCACCGAAGGCATCGGTCTCAATGCGGGTAGCCGAAGACTAAAACAATAACCGATTAGCAACGTCTCGCAGTTGGGGCTCTTCCCCCATAGCGAAGTCATCCATATGATAGATGCGATTCAATGGAAAAGGTAGAGCATACCATCTTGACAGTAGTGCCAAAGGCTCTCTTGCTGGAGGTGGAAGTCAAGGTCTGAAGACGGGGGAAGTGTTGAACAGGTCGGCTATTGGAGCTCAGAAGACGACGGCAACTGAACGAGGCGGGGGTGAAAGCGACGGCAGTGCGGGCAACTGCGGGGGAAGCCGAAGCTCGAGATGCAGCATGTGTCAAGGAGGCCATCGAGCGCACCGCGGCTCGGGAAGTGTGGGCAGATGTCAACATGACGACCGGCTTCTGGATCTATTCATCATCACGCGCGTTAGTCACTGTGTGTGGCTGGCTAACCAATGGTGCCATTTTTTGGGAAACAATTCACATCCTGTCGAGGATGTGTGCAAGGGATTGGTCGTACTTTATCTCTCTAAAATAAACAAAATAAGACGACAGATCTAATGATATTCCAATTCTACCCAAAACCTGGGGGACGGCAAACAAACCACGCAGAAAAGAAGGGAAGAAGAAGAGCAGCAGCAGCCGCGCATATTTAATCCACCCCAACTGTTTCCGATACCGCCTGCCGAAATCTCCCGGCCCGGTAATGTTCAGGACGCCGGTTACCCGTCTGCCACACCTTCGCTGCCCAGCCTAAATGGTATCATACGGTAAAGATTCTCGTCGGATAAACCATGATCCTGCTGTCTCTCCGCATTTCCATCTTCTAGTCGCTCTGCACTAACACTGCTCTCCATCTTCGATATCCCTTCAACCGAACCAATTGATTATTTACACTGTCAGTTCCCGTTTCATCGCTTCGATGACCTTCTTGGTATATATACGGCCGCTCTCTAAGATGCCATCCAACATGGCAAATGTGTGGGGTGCTCCTGCCATACGCATCATTTCCACTCGACAACCGCCAGCTTTCAATTTGGCAGCGTAGGCCTCCCCTTCGTCCCGCAGAGGATCCATTTCGGCGGTGAAGACCAACGCAGGTGCTAGTCCAGAAAAGTCAGGCGCAAATATGGGGGAGATCTTCCAGTCCTATGGATCACATCAGCATCTTGCAGTTGTGTGCAGCTCCGGCTGCAGCAATTACGGTACTACTTACCTCTTCTGAACGTGCTGGCCGGGGAACCCCCAAAAAGTGTCGATGGAAATAAGCCATCCGTGCTACCGGAAGAGCTGCGGTGAACTCCATCTCTCTGTAGGACTCATAGGGACAGTTCTCCCGATCGAATTCACCATCCGGAGTGTAGCCGCTGTGTAGATCACATACGGGCACGTTCAGCACCTGCAGACGCAACGGAATGCCGCCATTACGGCAGAGATGAGCGACCACGGCTGACAGGTGGCCTCCGGCCGAACAACCTCCAACAGCTATTCGATTCGGGTCAACGTTGAACTCCTCTGCTTTCTGGGAGCGGATCTGCACGGGATGTCAGTTGGTATTGACCATACCGGTCGATGTAGACAGGGAGTTGTAGCTGACCCAATTGAAAGCGGCCCAGCAGTCGTCAACGGGGATCGGATACTTGTGCTCAGGAGCTAGCCGGTAGTCGACATCAAACGCGACCAAGTGCCCGTCCAGGCCATCGACGAGTGTCTTGCAGAAATCGTGATCAACTGAGAGATCGCCGAACACCCAGCCTCCCCCATGGAAGTTGACAAACGCAGCCCTCTTTTTGGCCTTGCCATGCTCATCCGCTTTCGGGGCAGGCTCGAAGATACGGATGGTTATCTCGCCCCCTTGCACGGGACATTTCTGCTCCGTGATGCGGAAGACATCAGGACCTTGAGCACGGCCGTAGGCAATGGCATACTTGGCTGGGTTCTTGCGGAAGTCTTCGATAGGAACCTCATGCGTATGTAGCCTCCCAGCATTGTATTTGTTGTAGTGTTCCACATAGACCGGGTCGAACCGAGGTAGCAACTCCGACGGGATGCTGTTGTGAAGTGGTTGGATAAGGACCCGGGGCCGTAGCTCACTCAAGGTCTTTTCGTCTTTAAGCGCAGACATAGTGATGTCAGTCTATCCGATGGTAGAAATTAGGGAAATTTGATCCAAGGCACAAGTGCGGGAGAAGTCGACATGACCATGTCCTCTGATGAGGGACAGCCAACCCCTCACGACCCCTCATATGCTCGGCTCTCGATCCGTTATCAGGGAGTGGCTCGTCTGTGCAACCTTATTTCACGTGGAATGCAAGCTTCAATTGAGGCCATCCTCGTCTTTGGGTGTCGGACAACAGGGAATGACCACTATAACGCCTGGTCTTCTGATGGTATCTAAGTAGCTTCTCACATTCTCGCTGAATGTCCGCTCGGTTACTGTCGGATCCGACAGCGCTCGGAGGAAGCAGACAATAGCCGGATGTAGCCGTCTGCTATAGTCCGTCGCTGTCCGTCAATCAATATGACAGTAGAGCTTGATAGTCTAGTTCGGAGTTAGTAGATGGTTAGTAGGGTAGCATTTGTGGTTAATCATTGTCTCATTGACTACGTATAACCGGCTAACTAGTTATCACACCCGCCCAGCTGACTCGCATAGACAAAGCTAGTAATAATTCATCTGACATGGATCCTGCAAACAACAATTACGAACTGCGAGTGCGCTAAGCAATGTGAGGCAGGGACACGAATTCTGGCCCCCCGGGGCTGAAGGAAGATGACACGAGGAAGTGAGAGACAATATATCCAACTTCCTCCATCTGTTACTGCTCCAGGCACAACGCAGCAAGGGTCGCATTCCTAATGTCTGGTTCGACCCACCAATTCGCCTTCTCAGGAACCTTTCACTAGACAGACTTTGCCGTCATCGCATTTGCCGCATCGTCAGTGGCAAGAAACAAAAGCAAAATCTCTTCGATCGACGTAGGCAGTCTGGGGAACGAGGGATTGAAGCAGCAGCGGGTATTTAGTTGACTCGCCAACCCGCACGGCTGGCATCGCGATGGGCGATATCGGCCACTCCTCACGGCTTCAATTCTTCACCACACCCTGACTCATTGCTCGCACTGATCCACCTTGTTACTGAATTTAGCATATCCGTTCCTTTCTTTTTCTCCCCCTCAGTAAATATCCGCTCCTCGTGTTGCATCGCGACTAGATCTTATTACGCCTCCACCCTCTAGAATCTTTTCCTCCCTTGCTCCACCTTTTTCGCACCGCCGCTTCTCTACCGGAAAATCTTACCGATTGCCCCCTCCACCTTATATACCTCTTCCGATCATCTGCTCAAATCTGAGTCATTGGTTGCAATAACCTGCACATTCCCTCGATTCCACTCCCTGGACTCCTCCAACTGCTCCCACCACTACCACCACAATGACTGTCCTCAACCTGACCCCGCTACCGGCGGACGAGATCTTCGCTCTCAACCGCGAATACGCCAACGACACTTTCCCCGACAAAGTCAGTCTCGGTGTCGGTGTCTACCGCACTGACGATGGCAAGCCCTGGCCATTGCCCTCCGTCCGCAAGGCAGAGCAGCAATTGCTCGCCGAAGACAGCCCCTTCCGCCACGAATACACCGCGATTGAAGGCGACATCCCGTTCCTCGAGCTGGCTCGGGACCTGATGTTCGGCTTCGACTCCAAAAACCTCTGCGAGGAGCACAAGGCCCTGAAAGGCCGCATTGGCTCCGTCCAGTCCGTCGCCGGCACTGGCGCCAACCATCTGGGCGCTCTCTTCCTCGCTCACAAGATGAAGCCCAAGACCGTCTGGCTCTCCGACCCCTCCTGGGCCAACCATGTCACCATTTGGGACCTCGTCGGCGTCCCCCGCAAGACCTACCCCTACTACAAGCCCGAGACCCGCTCTTTCGACTTCGAGGGCATGATGTCCACCCTTGAATCCGACGCCCAGGAAGGCGACGTGATTCTTCTGCATGCCTGCGCGCACAACCCCACCGGTCTCGACCCCTCCAAGGAGCAATGGAAGGCCATTGCCGAGATCTGTGAGCGTAAGAAGATCTTCCCCTTCTTCGACTCCGCCTACCAAGGTTTTGCCTCCGGATCCGCCGATGAGGACGCCTGGGCCGTGCGCTACTTCCTCAACGAGAAGCCACAGATGGAAATGTGTGTTGCGCAGTCCTTCTCCAAGAACTTCGGTCTTTATGGCCAGCGTGTCGGCGCTTTCCATTACGTCGTCGCAGAGGGATCCCAGAACCTCCGCGATCTTGTCGTCAACAACCTCTGCCACTTCATTCGCGGCGAGTTCTCCATGGGTCCTACTGGCGGTTGCTCCATCGTCAAGAAGGTCTTGACGAACGATGCCCTCACCACGCAATGGCACGATGATCTCAAGGTCATGAGCTCCCGTATCAAGGCCATGCGCGCTGCTCTGTACGATGAGCTCGTCAGACTTGAGACCCCCGGAACTTGGAAGCACATCGTTGAACAGGTACATACCCACCTCTTGAGTCCCATCCCAAATGCATGCATGCTAATCACGAACTCCTCATAGAATGGCATGTTCTCCTACACTGGCCTCACCCCGACCCAAGTCCAAGCCCTGAAGGAGAAGTACCACGTCTACCTCATCAAATCCGGCAGAGCTTCTATCAGCGGCTGTAAGCTTTCCCCTTACCCCACCCCCCAATTCTAATCCCCACACACACCCACTAACATTTCTTTCCCTAAACAGTGAGCCAGAAGAACGTCGCCTATGTCGCGAAAGCTTTTGACGACATTGTCCGCAACGTCAAATAAACACGCCAACCATTTCGGTTGTTCGGGTAGTCATTTATTCTGCCCGAGGTACAGACACTTCTTCACCAAAGGCTTCAACGCATACCGAAAGAAGAAAGAAAAAAAAATAATAAAAAAAAAAAAAAAAAAAAAAAAA